CACGGTCAGTTCAGCGTTTTTTTAAACAGGGACTACATTTATAGAATAGTTAAAGGCATTCTTTCTTTCTTCTAATTTATGATATTCATTTTATCTTCTTAATTTATAAGGTCAATAAAATTTGCTTATATCTGTAATTAAATTTGCATACACAAATTACAAAAATGTAGAACAATTTAGTAATGACAGTTCTATATACATATATACATGTTATGGCTTCTCAGGGGTAAAGTATGGTTAAGTACTGCAAATTAATGTACATACATGTAAATAAGTGCATCCAAATTTACCCGAAAATCTCCCACATCTGATAATAAATAATTTTTCATCTCAAAAATAATGAATTCAGATGTTAATTTATCAAATTGTTACAAATACATGGTGTCAACTGACCATCATTAATTCTTTTCTCTCCTGATTTTTCAGAGTTGGGTAAGTAAATTTACTCTCTCTCTCTCCTCTCTCTTCAAAATAAATATAAGTCTTAGATTTAAGACTTAAAAAATAATTTGATTCTTAGTGCATATCAAAGTTCAAGTTCTCTAAATTCCTTGTTTTAAAAATAATTATTACAAGATCGTCATTGATGTTTGCATGGTATTGCCTATCATATTTCCAGGTCATAACTGGGGCAGTGAGCATGACCCAGATACCGATTCTTGTGCCCCGTCCACCTCATCTGGGGGCCGGTACATCATGTATCCCTCCGCGGTCTCGGGGTACGAAAAAAATAATCAGGTCAGTCTAGACTAATGGTAATTTATTTTATTATACTTTCATGTTAAATACTAAAATCTGATCGGTTTAGACGCAGTTAACAATCCGTTCGATTACCCTGAGCCTTAGCAACACACGTGACAATGGGTAACACAACGGTAATGCCACATGCGTGGAAATTATGCGCGTACGGTTCACCGTAGAATTCTCTAAACGTCAGTTGCGCGTTTGAAAGAACCGGAATTAACTTGACGTCAAGAAAAGCTTGCGTCCGATATAGCTTACTTGAAAACAACAAACGACAGACGATAGTTGCTTGCGAGTGTAGGAAACATGCTTGCGAGCCAGAAATAACGAAACTTTATGTGATAAATGACTCTAATTCGAGTATCAAACAAACAATAAGGAGATTAGTGAACCGGTGAGTGTGAAAGCTTTCTATACATGAACGTAAAGACGATCGACGGAAATTATTTTTTGCTGACGTCCTAAATCAATAAGACATTCAGTATAATAAAATAAATGGTGCCTGTTTTGGAGGTACGTAACATTTGAAATTGACACCCCTCGGAAAACCATTGTCAACCTCCGCTGACGCGTCGGTTGACAATGGTTTTCCTTGGGGTGTCAATTTCAAATGTTACCCTCCAAAACAGGCACCATTTATATAATGTCAATCATAATGTTGCCTTTTATCCTACAACCAGTTGTGTTAAATAAGGCTGATACTTGAATGTGGCTTGATTTGATGATAAATTCTAGCCTGCAGGCTTTTCTTTTTAACTTCCAGGGAACAAATTTTTTTTGGTACTAGTATGTAGTCTTGAAAATAGTATAAAAAAATAAGTATTGAAATTGAAATTTTCAGAGAAAAGAATTTTCTCATCGATCTGTACCTACCGACCCAACATTTTCAGATCAAGATGGGAGAAGGAAAATAAACATTTTTCCAAAGTTGGCCTATTAAGTGTATACATTCGTATTTGTCTTTCAGCTGTTTTCTCCATGCAGCAGACAGTATATATTCAATGTCATCAAGACAAAGGGCTACAACTGCTTTAAAGGTAGGATATAATCACTGTCATGATTTAAATGTGTTGTTACACTGTTCATCACTTTAATCTTGTGACCTTTTGCATAGGTTGATTGCATTCGACTCTCACTCGATCAGGCCAAAATGCTTGTTTATATAATTCCACCATACAATTTTAAGTGAGCTATATGTATGCATTGTCATTTAAAAGTTTTTGACTGGTATAGCATCTCTCATCTGTTTTTGCTGTAGATGCTGTGATATCATATGCTTTAAGTCAATAAAAATAACTTGTAATGAAGATGGGAAAAAGCACGCAGTACAGTTAAGGTGCGCAATGGAAATATCGGCTAAAATTTGTATTTAAAAATGTATTCGTAATCGGGATGGCGACTATTTTTGGTACATTATTTATATCGGATAATTATAATTATGATTAATAACTACATATCAGTAGGACAATTATATTTTGTATTTAGACTAGTCACGTGATGCGGCAGTCACGCGATTTTAGCACATTGACTTGAAGTATTGATGTTACATATAAATATCACTAGTGCAAGGGCATAACCAAGTTAAATATCCAAGTTTAGTATATAAGTATTTTCAAAAAGCATTGTAGTTTCTAGAAAGTGCTGCGATCCTGTCTCAAATTCTGCAATTTCATTGTTAAAATTATACTTGTATGACCGAATGCTATTTTTTTTGCTGGTCAGCGGCATTAAATATTGATATAATTAATTTGTTTTTAAGATTTCATCAGGATCGCAGCACTTTTCAGATACCTTAATAGTTCTATTGTTGAAATGTAAAAGCTTACTTTGATCCATAGAGTGTATGCCCTTGCACTAGATCGATTTATTAAGACCCCCAGATTACCCTCCGATGTACTTGCATACAAATATACGGCAGTGTCAATTAAATACGTAATATACAGAAAATATATTAATAAAATAGCGAAGAAGACATAAAATTCAAGTTATTGTCCCATAGAATATCTGTAAATAATATTCTATTTAATTAGAGAGTACATATTTTGTTGAGAAAATATTTCTTGATCTGTCTCTCACTGCATACAAACTACGTCACGTTGTAAGAAATGACGTCATATTGACAAGTGTATTGCGATCAGTGATTTGTTTATAACTTTTTATGTGGGATTTAACTAACGACAAAACAACATGCTGTAGTAAGTTTTTATTTAGTTTGATGATTTCTTACTGGTTAAATTAGCAGATACACTCATTTTGTGGTATTTTAAAGAAATGTTGTATGACGTATACTGTGTATGATGTCATAGTCAAGTTTTCCCGTACAAATTAGGCTCCGCCTCCTTTTTGTAACCTTAACTGTGCTGCGCAGATCCTTGGCTAACTGTAGAATATTTTTTTACACTAACCTCATCAGAATCCAGATAGTATTTAATTAATTGCCTTTATTTTGATTTTATGCAGAGGGCTCCAAATGTTTAATTTTTGTGATATTTTAAAATGTATAAAGATAAGTTTTTGTGCTTTAATTTTCTACAGTACGTTATAAAAAATGAAGTCAAAACCAATATAATTTTCATATCATTTTATAAACTAGAGTCCTCTGGTAAGTTTTAATTTCTTTCCCCCCTGTGTTTGTTTAATTTTAAACAGCTAGCCATTATAGTGAATATATGCTTATACTCAAACTTCTGTACATAAACATCAAAAACTTTAGCTTCATTTCCTCTACATGCAATGGTATTTCTCTTAAGGGTACTGGCATGGAATGGTGTATCTGATTTTTTGTTTGGTTTTACATGTACTTTTGATTTCAGTAAGTTAGCTTAAGACCTGTTTACATGAAAACTTTTCCTTAATGTTTTGTACTGAGGAAATGTAAAATTGTGAATAATGATATGAGATGACAATTCTCTTTCATTACAATTATATCTCTACATTAATTTGATGAATCATGAAATTAATATACACATGAAGAAAAAAAGCTGTCTCTGTATGTTTTCACAATCGAGAAGAAAATAACATAAACTGTGTATATGAAAAGTCTCAACTCTTCAGGGTCTTACAAGTTTTATATCTACTCTTTTTTCTGAAGTTATAGATGGATGTAGAAAAAAGAAATACTGACTGATCAATCAATCTTTTATAGCAAATGGTGTGAAGTAAAACATCTGAATTAAAAAAAAACAAAACATCTGAAGTCCATTATTCTAATATACTTGCCATCTGTGTACCTCTTCATCTGAATTCTATCTATTTTATCTTCAATTTATATTATAGGAGCATGCACCCCCAATTCCTCCTTCCAAGCTTTAATTTATTCCAAAATACAATGTTATGATCAACCTTAATTATAACTCTATCCAATTATCATTAATTAAACAAGAGGCCCATGGGCCACATCGCTCACCTGAGCACTAAAAGTAGGAAAAGTAGAAAATGGTTTTTTACTGTAAAGTTTAAATCAAGTAGTCCCATGACCAATCATGGATTTGCTATTTTTTAGAAAATGATTTTTAAAGAATTTTCCTATATACAGTTAATTCTCGATAAACCGCCACCTTTTGTAATTTAGAAATCATGGCAGTATAACGAATTTGGCGATGAATTGAATTTCCCATCTTTTAGAGAACAAGAAGCAGAGTTATCGTTCTTAGAAATACCATTTAGCGTTTCTATTCTTAATATTACATGTTCATATATATAAAAACATATTTCTGATTGAAAATACTTCAAGTAATCTTTTTAATGTACAATTTCGCTAAAGCAAAATGTGCAGTTATGAAATAAAGACAAGTATTTGTATATGAATGTAAATCTGCACGTCCGATATTGAAAAAAAAAAACATACTGGGTCGATCGTTGTGATATATTGCCGATAGTAAGTAAAATGAATTCTTGAATATATTCATTGTTTATGGTATCATTGTTAATGAAACGTTCACAATTTATAACGTATAATTATTTTTTCCAGCAAACTTTGCACTGTTTAAAGCAGAGATCATCAAAATAATATCGTTATCGGCCTACTTTAACAACGACCGTTTTCGTGGCGAAGCTGTGACTAAATGATTATATTAAACAGAAAACAAAGTTGTTATAACAGTTCATGTTAAAACTAGGAAACTTATTGTTCACAGAACAATAAAGAGGTCTTTCCACCTTCTTTGAATTTTTCAAATTTGTTTTATATTTTACTCCTTAAAATTAAATTCCATGAATAAGAAACCAAAATTGGCTAAAAAGATAGAAAAAATGAAAATAAAAAACATGGAAATGACCTTGACCTTTGACCTTGAAAAATTTTTCAAGGTCAAAGGTCAAGGGTCAAAATGCAATTGACCTCATGCTTCTACGACTTATAGTTTTCAAGTTATAAGGATTTATACTAAGTACAAAGAAGTTAAAGGGCAATAACTCATATAAGGGGTCATCAGATCCTTTCGCATTTATACAGTGAATTTAGGGCTAAAGACCCTGAACACATTAGTGAAGATTTGGTGTCTCTACGGTGTACGGTTTTGAAGTAGTGGCGAAAACACGGTTTTTCGTATAAGGGGCAATAACTTTCAATAGGGTCAATGTTAGGGGACAAGAATGAAATCTTTGAAATAGATCTAAGAGTACATATTATTGATGCAAAGACTGTTTGTATATATTAAAAGACAAAAGAGATATAAAAAGAGCTTATTTTCTCATTTTTGGAATGACCTTGACCTTTGACCTTTGCATAAGTTTAAAGGTCATAGGTCACTGATTCTTATGCACTTGGTCCTATGTCTCTATGACTTCTCGTTTTGAAAATTTTTAATTATTTGTAAAATTCAAAAAGTTTCAGGGGCAATAACTCATTGAAGGGGTCACCGAATGCTTTAGCAATGAATAGATTGAAGAATCCCCTTTATTAGTCGAAGACATTTGTAAAGGTTTCATACCTCTGTGGTTTACGGTTTCTGAGGAGTAGCGATAACAAGCATTTCTTGCGAAAGGGGCAATAACTTCGAAAGCGGTCAAGGTTCATTTACGCAGGGTCAACTGCAATAATCTTTTAAGGAGTACATTCTTATGGACTATAAATCTTTTCGATATATCTTCAAACAAAAAAACATGCAGCGGAAAAATAATAAAAAAAACTAGTAAACTAATTGTTCAGAGAACAATAAGACGTCTTTCCACCTTTTTAAGTGTTTCAATATCATTTGGGCTGAAAAAAGTAGAAAAAAAGCAAGAAAATAAATAAAACAGCAAAATTCTCATTTCTGTACTAGGATTTTAGATCGGGCTCGCAGTTGTTATGAATATACCGTAAACAGACGAGTCGACTCGGGGATAACCACGGATTCATTCACTACGAAAAGAGAGCACGTTAAAAACACTGTAACACGCTCCTAGGTGTATATATGAGCTTGAATGAGATTGTTTTCGAGTTAAGATGTAAGGGGTAGGGTCTGATTAAAATTATGATATACCTATTAATATGAATAACATGCATTTGATCTGCGCATCAAGACGGAAGCGTAAGTGAAAACGTCGTGAAATGTCCCATGTGTACCTGCATCATATGTGCATTATACATGTATTAAAGAAATGTTTGAAAATATCCGATTTGAGTTGGTTTATGTTTGAAATGGATGGCGATAAATTATTTAAGAGCATGTGAAAAACATAAGCGAGAGATGCAAGGCAGTTTGTATTTATGGAAAAGGAGAACAGAGAATCGGGTTCGGGTTTTAACATTCCTTACCGAAATAGGCAAGAAATTCAATGTAAGTAGCATAAATAAAATTCCAAACATGTAATTCTAGATGGGAAACACAGGGAAGAAACGTGTATTTCTTTTTACTAGGCTGAAAGTCGCTATTTCTTGGGATTATGTTATTCTAGAAAAAAAAAATCAAATTTCAAATGAAATCAAGATTCATTCAATTAATATTAAATCCAAATAAAATTGAAATAAATTCCATACACTAAAGAAAGCAAGAATACTTGGTATTAAAATGTCGTAATAGAGCAGGAGAATCGAATGATATTAACAAAAATTGCAGAAATAGCCAATAGGGGCTTAAATTAATTTTTATGCTCAGCAATAACTAAATTTCAGACAGAAAAAAAATGCAGATTTTGCCTATTTTCACTAGTATTTCATCATATTTCAGAGACTCACCTTAAAACTCTCAGGACACTTTCTTTAAGGTCTCTTCTTGCTTTTACTTCGAATCTTATGTCGATATATCGTATCGTTAGACTTTTAGACATTTTTTCTATGCTGCTGTTGATTTTTTTTTTTTAAGAAAGGAAGGGGGGGGGGTTATAAGCATTTGTAAGAGTAAGGGTTGCAAATACCTCAACGACCTTAAGCTTGATTGTGACCTTTGGGTCAATAGGTGGTCAAAGGTCAAGGTCATTTATCAAGGTCAAAGGTCAAGGTCATCCATAAAAAAAAGAGAAAGAGTGAAAGATAAACTTGAGATTAACACTTGAAGATGAATCTAGATAAAGGTAATGAATATTTCTTTATTACTTTTTGAGTTAGGGGTCAAGGTCAAAGGTCAAGGTCAAATATCAAGGTCAAGGTCATTTGGATTTTTTTTAAAATAGCTTAATCGACAATTTCTCTAGTATTCCAATGACCCTGACCTTTGACCTTGACCTATTCTTCAAGGTCAAAGGTCAAAAGATCTCATGCAGTTGGGCCCATGTCTTTACGACTTGTCGTTAAGAAGTTTTTAGTTCTTCGTAAACATCATCAACTAGCAGGGGCAATAACTACTTAAAATGGTTTACGAATTCTTTTGCACTAATGGAATGAGAAGTGTTCTAAATTAGTAGCAGACATTGTTGAAGGTTTTGTACCTCTACGGTTTACGGTTTCGGAGGAGTAGCGATAACAAGGGTTTACACTGAAGGGGGCACTAACTTTTAGAGGGGTCAATCTTAGGGGACAAGAATGAAATCTCTGAAATGGTTTTAAGAGTACATATTGAAGATGCAAAGATGTTTAGAATTTGGTTAAGAACAAAAGAGCTATTAAAAATGCTTAATTTTACATATTTTGAATGACCTTGACCTTTGACCTTGACCTAGATTTTAAGGTCAAAGGTCAATGAATCTTTTGCAGTTGGTCCCATGTCTATACGCCTTGTCGTTTTAGAAAAGTTCTTGATATTCGTAAACATTGCAAACATTCAGGGGCAATAATTTGTTATAAGAGCTTACGAATCCTTTCGCAATGTTTGATTGGAGAGTCTACTAAATTAGTCGTAAACATTAATTTAGGTCTGGAATCTCTGCGGTTTACGGTTCTGGAGAAGTAGGGATAACAGACATTTCTTGCGAAAGGGGCAATAACTTCGAAAGGGGTCAAAGTTCTAACATAGGGGGTCGTTTTTCGGAATAACTTTTAATATCCAGTATCATGAACTATAAAGTTTTTCGATAAGTCTTACGGTGTCAAAACATAAGGTGAGAAATAAAATAAAAAACAGAAGCATTTCAAGAGGTCTTTCCACAGAAAGGTGGAAAGACCTAATAAAAAAGAATAATAATAAACAGAAGAATTTCAATAGGTCTTTCCACAGAAAGGTGGAAAGACCTAATTATTGTTTATTCAATTCTTGTTTAATTACTTAATTGCATGTACCTTGTCTGCGTTTGCATGCTTTACAACAGGAATAGCGTCAACTAATTAGCCGCGCTTCACTGACCACATGCACCTGTGGCGGTATATCGAGATAATTGACACTTAAAAATGGACGTTTCTTGTGAAAACAGGGTGGCGGATGGCGGTATGCGAATTTGGCGTTATAAAGGGAATTTTATATAGCAGGAAAAACGTTCTTGGGAAATCATGGCGGTATTGCGAAAATGGCGATGAATCGAATGGCGATAATTCAAGAATTGACTGTATATCTTTAAAAACTTTGGTCGGCCATTTTGGCCCCGCCCTACCCCTGGGGGGTCATGATTTGAAAAACTTTGAATCTACACTACCTGAGCATGCTTCCATATAAATATGATGAATTGATGGCTTTGTCATTCTTGAGAAGAAGATTTTTAAAGAATTTTCCTATATATTTCTATGTAAAACTTTGGTCGGCCATTTTGGCCCCGCCCTATCCCCGGGGGTCATGATTTGAACAAACTTGAATCTACACTACCTGAGCATGCTTCCATATAAATATGATGAATTATGGCTTTGTCATTCTTGAGAAGAGGATTTTTAAATAATTTTCCTATATATTTCTATGTAAAACTTTGGTCGCCCATTTTGGCCCCGCCCTACCCCTGGGGGTCATGATTTGAACAAACTTGAATCTACACTACCTGAGCATGCTTCCATATAAATATGATGAATTATGGCTTTGTCATTCTTGAGAAGAAGATTTTTAAAGAATTTTCCTATATATTTCTATGTAAAACTTTGGTCGGCCATTTTGGCCACGACCTCCCGCTGGGGGTCATGATTTGAACAAAATTGAATCTACAATACCTGAGCATGCTTCCATATAACTATGATGAATTATGGCTTTGTCATAAAAATCTTAAGAAGATTTTTAAAGAATTTTCTTATATATTTCTATGTAAAACTTTGGTCGGCCATTTTGGCCCCGCCCTATCCCCGGGGGTCATGATTTGAACAAACTTGAATCTACACTACCTGAGCATGCTTTCGTATAAATATGATGAATTATGGCCTTGACATTCTTGAGAAGAAGATTTTAAAAGAATTTTCCTATATATTTCTATGTAAAACTTTGGTCGGCCATTTTGGCCCCGCCCTACCCCCGGGGGTCATGATTTGAACAAACTTGAATCTACACTACCTGAGCATGCTTCCATATAAATATGATGAATTATGGCTTTGTCATTCTTGAGAAGAAGATTTTTAAAGAATTTTCCTATATATTTCTTAATGTAAAACTTTGGTCGGCCATTTTGGCCCCGCCCTACCCCCGGGGGTCACAATTTGAACAAATTTGAATCTTCGCTACCTGAGAATGATTCCATATAAATATGATGAATTATGGTTTTGTCATTCTTGAGAAGAAGATTTTTAAAGAATTTTCCTATAAATTTCTATGTAAAACTTTGGTCGGCCATTTTGGCCCCGCCCTACCCCCAGGGGTCATGATTTGAACAAACTTGAATCTACACTACCTGAGGATGTTTCCCCATAAGTTTCATCTTTCCTGGCACAGTGGTTCTTGAGAAGAAGATTTTTAAAATATGCCACCAAATTTTCATTAATTCCCAATTATCTCCCCTTGAATGAGAGCGTGGCCCTTCATTTGAACAAACCTGAATCCCCTTCACCCAAGGATACTTTGTGGCAAGTTTGGTTGAAATTGGCCCAGCGGTTCTTGAGAAGAAGTCAAAAATGTGAAAAGTTTACAGACAGACGGACAGCTAGACAGCTAGACAGACAGACGGACAGACAGACGGACGCCGGACAAAATGTGATCAGAAAAGCTCACTTGAGCTTTCAGCTCAGGTGAGCTAACAATAATGTATTTACTGCATGTAACAATCCACCTGAAATATCTAAACATATATACATGTAGAATACAAATAATATGATTATCCTTCAAAAATTAGATAAGAGAATTATATTTTGAGAGTTTTTTCAAATAAGCCCTACCAAGTCAAATGTATAGTCTCAGTTGAGATATTTTAAGTTTGTCTATTATGTGTTTATATCTGGTATAGTATACTCTAAATATTCAAATCGTGTCCTGTAGCCTTTTTCATGAAGCGATTGAGAAATAGAACTAGAGTATTCCATGGAATGCTTGGGCAGTCTACTGTAGAAAAGTACAAGAAAGGAGGAGATCTTCAAAAAATAGAAAAATACCGCCTTCTTAGTTCAATAGAAAAAAATAACAATTAATACAATCATAAAGTTACTGAATGTTTTTTGAATTTCAGTCTGTATGATAACTATTAGAATTGAGAATATGATACAGTTTTTAAATGTAAAATATAGTTTGTTTCATTATTCTTTCTATCCTGGGAATTTTATGAAACATGCTGTTGAGGTGAACAGATATTTAATATATAAAAATTGTGTAAACTGGTACTAAAAAGAGTATTGCTGTCACAAAGTCTTTTGGTTTGTGTGTTTACAGCTCTAATATTTTATTTGTGATAAAGTTGAATAAAAACAAATGGTAAAATTAAGTCATTTGTTTTTTAGTTGTGTTGCTATTAAAATGAAAATACTACATGGAGGATAACAAAAAATTATTCAATACTTTATTGTTGACTTTTGATATTTTTAACAGAAGCCTCAGCTACAGGTCAAGGGTTATGTGGAAATGGACGAGTTGATAAAAACGAGGACTGCGATGCCGGCTACACAGGGGACAGGTGCTGTAACGACAAATGTCAGTTCAGGGCCAAGTATATGAAATGCAGGTAACGTCTTTTGTGAAACTTGTAACTAAATCATACCCCAACACACACCCACATATTGGCCCTTAAAAAGTAATTAGTTCCAGGGTAGCACAACCTTAACAAGATTATTAGCATAAAAATCTTAGCATATTAAAGGTTGTTTTTTGACCCCCATTGACCATTGATCAAGATGACTGTATATACAGAAAGAATAATTGTCCATAGCATAATGTAATAATTTTATTTTGTCCTTAGTCATGACCGTGAACAAAGGTCATCAAGATCAAGGTCAAAAAGTCTTTCAGTGCTATGAACTTTGCGTGCTGTATAATCTGTATGTTGGCACCCACTTGGATACATTTTATCCTTTTGTCTTTCAGTCCTATGAACTTTGCGTGCTGTGTGAATTGTACCGTGGCCCCTATAGGGTATACCTGCCTGGACCAGGTAGATGATAACTTTGACTGTAAGGGGAAGTCACACTGCAGGTATCCTTCCACTGGTGATGAAGAAGTTGTAGTACAATTCTCAGTTAACCTTTGAATTGGACCCAGTAAGGCATGGCATTCTTGGCACTATGTATTTAGTGTCTTTCAAATGGTGAATAGATTCTCATTGGTTAAGAAATTAATAATATCAGGAACTTTAAATTGTTGTTGACAACAATGAGACAACTTAAGCCCCACGTCTTTGCTGTACAAGATGCTGTTATTGGATATTTGCTACACTTGTTGACATTCGTCCAAATGTCTTATCCCATGTATATTTTAATATTGAATGAAAGCTCTGTAAATTTCAGATGCTAATTATATAACGTCGAGAATACCACGCCTTACTGAGAGTCTAAGGATAACAGAGAATTGTACTAAAACATCAACACGCAGTAATAATTAGGGCCCCGCAAGAATTTGCGGGTGCCCTATAGTAATCACTCTGTCCGTCCGTCTGTCTAGCTGTCTGTCTGTCTGTCTGTCCGTCTGTCACTCTTCCATCCACAAATTTTCTGTTTTTTTCTAATAACTTTTTTTATGGTTGCCCAATCAAGTTCAAATTTGGTATGGTAGTTCAGTAGGCAGAAATACATATTTTGGTGCTAAGTTTGGTTCTCTATGTCTTCTGGTTTGGAGCTGGGGTGGTGGGGTAGATTCCTTAACTATGCATAAGAATGAATGGGCAACTTTTTTTATGGTTGCCCAATCAAGTACAAATTTGGTATGTTAGTTCAGTAGGCAGAAATACATATTTTGATGCTAAGTTTGGTTCTCTATGTCCCCTGGTTTGGAGCTGGGGTGGTGGGGTAGATTCCTTAACTTTATATACGAAAGCATTGGCAAAGAGAGATAACTGCTGAAGATGTTCCCATTGTAAACTGAATGCTGCTATGAGTCCCTTGGGATTAATTAGCTTTTCTCCTGAAGAAAATCCAGAGCATTATCTTTATCTGTCAAATTGAGATGAATTACCACCTCTGTCTGCAAATGAAGTTTGTTTTGAAGTTAAGTCAATTTGGAATGCTATGAACACTCTGAAATGTGGATTTAAATATAAATTTTTATAATTTAATTTTGTTTAATAGTTATGATTTCATTGAATTCTATTAACAAGAAATAGATTAAAGAAGATTTTTTGATTTACTTTTTTCACTTTATGTTAATTCAAGAATATTATTAATTTTTAGGATAGTTGTATAAAAACCCCACTCTATCATTAATACTGAAAAAGTTCTTATTGTAACTTTAGAAGAAAATGATGAGAGAGGTACAATTAATCCTTTGGGATTAATTATCTAGCCTGCTGCAGAAAATTTAGTAGGCTTTTTTTTATCTGTCACTTTAAGATTAATGAAAACCTTTGTCTGCAACTGCTGTTTGTTTGAAGTTTAAAGGTCAAGCTTTCATGATATTTGCATTCATTGAAGGCTGGCATTTTATATAACACAAGCTTCATAATTGTTTAAATATACATTCAATGTGAAGTTGTTCTTTACTGCCTAATGTAAATACAAGGATATTATTTTCAGGTTTTTGAATATTCAGGAATTATCTTGAAATTTTAAGAATACAGTTGCTGTTGCTTATTCTTCGTACATTTTTTAATCATTCTGTAAGCACCCTATTCTACCCCATGGCGGGGCCCTTGCTGACTGGTCAGTTTTCTAGTTATGTTACATGTACTGGTGATTACAGGTGATAGAGAATTTATAGAATAGCAACACATAATAATAATTACAGACGCAAAACAAGAGGCAAATTTGAAGAACAAAACATTAAGTAATAACTAAGATTAAAACATAGTTAAAACAAAAACAACTCATATCCATTTACTTCATCCAAATAAGAGTTTCCAAAAGTAAAATTAAAAGCATTATCAGAACTTGATATCAAGTTTAAAAAATTATTTAAGGCATAATATTTGAAACTGCTTGTATGATGATTTATACATGTAACTGTTTTAATGTTCCTTAACATAAACAGTGGTAAAGATCTGACCTGCCCGAATGCCGTACCTAAGACTGATAATACATCATGTCATAATGGGTAAGTTATAGAAATGTATGCCAAGATCTACAGTGCAACCTCATCATCCCAAAGTCAATTTATTTAGGAGCATTCAAAATATTTTCAATTGTAGAATATTCTGAACAAACGAAAATTTTACTTTTTGATTTGTCTATGAGTAAAAATTAATTCAGACAAATCTTTGTTTCTATTCCTTCAGTGAATATATATTCAAAACTTTTTAAAAACTTTAGTGGTTTTTTAAAAGTATTCAATTTCTTTAAAAATTAAGGTAATTTTTTTGTTTGTTAAAAAAGTTGAAAATGTTGCTTGTCAAAGATTGTATTATTGTAGATTTGGAAAATGTTGGAATGGAAAATGTTTAGATGCTTGTCAACAAGTTAAGAAGAATCCATGTCTGTGCAAAGGTAATATTACTAAGGTGTTGAGATTGAAGAGTAGTATAGAAGTTAGAGCTATGAGCCTACTGAATAAGAATGTTACTATCATTCCTGTAACAGCGTTTCACTTTGTTTGAGCGAGCATGTCAGTTAAAGTTTCACATGTTGATTACCATTTTGCTCATCGTTTGGATGTTTGATTTCAATGGAATCAAGTATACTTTGCATATGAAACACAGAACCTATGCAGCAATATCACTGACAATACTAACCAATCATAATAAATGATTGTTCGTGAGAATGCATTAAACAATAATCACGCGGTGAAGGCAAGCACGTTTTTATCCTTAAAATGATGATATTGGTCGTTATATATAGTATAATGGTAACAGAGTATAGCACTACTTATATCATGCTTCAAAGGATCACTTCTAGGTGAATGTATGCTTCGAGCTATTGGACCGATATTGGTTTCAGTCTTTAGAAAAATCTTATCGATATCCATTTGGGTTCCTGACTTTAGGCTACGTGCATGTGATGTTTGTTTCTTATACATAATTTTTCTTTGGGTGCCCATTGACTTCATGATAACAAAGCTGGACTGTACATTTTTTTTTCCTATAGGAGATGATGCCTGTAAGACATGCTGCTTCAAGCCCAACACGGAGATTTGTGAACCATTATCAGATCAATCTGAACAATTCCTGGAGGATGGGAGACCATGTTATGATGGCTTCTGTAAAAAGGTAAAAAGAAGCACAATAATATACAGGTTTTAGTAATTTTCACATCTCTATACATCTCCAAATACTTTTGGTTGTCAATCATGTCTTTGTATTTTTTATAGAGTTACACACAATTGCAATTGTATGTGTGTGTGTCAAATTTAACTAGACAAAGCAACTTGATTTTAATTTTTGTAAACATGTATTTAAAAAATCTGTTGAAGTTTGTTATTGATACATAATATTGGTATACCAGCAACTTAATTTGAAGAGGCATATTCTGACAAGTTGACAGGAGTGGATCAAACTCTATGCTTTGCATTGAGTTTGGTCGGATAATTTAGTGCCTGTCAACTCAACGTGATATGGCTCTTCGGATCAATTTACTGTTCTAATGGTAAATTTATTATATACCCCCATTACAACTAGCAAATTGTAGTTTTAAAAACTCCTGAGATCAATTATAAAAATTATGCTATACCCCCAGCGTTGGCGTTGGTGTCATCGTCGGCGTCCCAGGTTAAAGTTTTAGAAGCAAGTCCATTCCCAAGTAACTATAAACCCTACCTGAACCAAACTTGCATTGATGATGTATCTCGGGATGGACACTACCAGACTAGTTTCGGATGCTGGATCTGACCCACATTTTCATTCCCAAGTAACTAGAAGCCCTACCTGAACCAAACTTGCATGGATTATGCATCTAGGGATGGACACTACCAGACTTGCTTCAGATGCTGAATCTGACCTATATATTCCAAACAAGAGACCAGGTTATAGTTTTGGGAACAGATTAATCCCAGTGAACTTGAAGTCTTTGATATCTGCAGTATTAACAAACTTATGAATATTGTTTACACTATACATGTTTTTCACGCTACATATGTAGAAATGTGTATATGCCCTGTAAGGGGTTAAACACAACTTGCAAGAATATTGTTGTTGGGATAAATACTAGATATTAAGAAAATATGATGTGAGATTTGCTTTACTTACACTGATAACATTCGTCGAGGTGAGCTTCGTAATCTTTGATTACCCGGTACCTTTGTTTTACTTAACGAAGCAGTTTGTCAAGGAACTTTTTGATATGCAAGAAAAATAATGTCATGTCTCAGCACTGCATCATCAGTTTCAGAGAGTGGTGATATGGATTCAGAAGACCACAGTGTGCTGATCCGGAAAGTCGGATATGTTATGTGATTTCTTTAAATCTACTGTAAAATTTAGTGATACACAGTTGGGTATATAATATAAGTAATATTATTATCCTTCAGAATTATACAGTCAATCTGATTGGTTTAGAGCAGGTCACATGCAGGGAGACAACTTGTGATGTCTCCCTCACGCGCAGGGTGACAACTGTTGTCACCCTCCAGATGACAATGAAATAGCGTAAACGAGCATGCAGGGTTACAACTGTGTTGTCGCCCTTTGAATGAAATTACAGTGGTTTAAGCGAGATAACCCTGATTTATAATTACACATGTACAATTGCTAAATATGCGGGATCGGTAAACAATAAATTCTAATGATGACGTCAAAGTTGTCTGTTGACATATTTTGAAAGTATGAACTCTGAACAGAGTAAGAGAACACAAGAGGTTTGATAACTATTTTCTACTCTATTTGCTTTATAATTTAGATTCTTCAGGATAATAAAACTATTATGGACTATTAAGAAGGGAGACATCACCAATTATCAGGTCTGAGTAGGGTTGTCACCCAAGTAGGGTTGACAACCCTACTCAGACCTGATAATTGGCGATGTCTCCCTTCTAAACAGTCCATAATTGTTTAATAACAAAGGCTTCTGATTTTTTCAAACTAAATTTTTGAATTTTTTTTCCTAGGGAAAATGTGAGAAATCCCAGTCAAAACTAGTACAGAGGTTATTTTCAATCATCCAGTCTTTCAGCATAGATCAAATAGGTAAGTCGCTCACCTATAGCTAATAACAGACATATCACTAGTCCACTAACTTTGCATGTCCTTTCCAGTCAGGTAAAAGGACTCTGTATCTCTTGAAATTTGACATGCTTAGCAAATTAACCTTCAATCTTAAATTGAACTCAACAGTAACAGTTAATAAACAACATCATTATTTCCAATTTTTGTGACTTTTTAAATTAAAAAAAAACAATTGAAAAGGTTCAGGACCCTGTTTAAAAAGCATCTATTACTGCAAGTCCATAATACAGTGTTACCTTTTGTATTTGGCTGTGCTTTAATTAATTTTAAATCAATATTCAATTAAAGATAAAGATTAAATAAAAAAAAATTTAAGTACAGTCCATTTTTTATAGGATAGCGCATCTGATGTTCATTTAAAAAATAAACAACAATGTTAAGTTAGTTGGTCACCTGATCAAATCTGTGAGCCCGAAGGGCTTCTCAATAGATTTGATCACGTACCAATTAAAAGTTCATTTCCCAGTGAACTTTTTGACATTGTTGCTTATTACTTATATTTACATTTAAGACGAATACATGCATTTCAAGTTAAATTGCATTTATTACACGAACAAAATATCACCTTGCTCTGTGATTCAGTCGCGCTATGACCTCTGACCCCCAAATAACATTCACACAGAATTGAACATATTTTCTCTTCAATAGGTTCATCTAAGAAAAATATTTGCAAATGTAAATATATTAAAGTGGTTATTTATATAATTTCCAGCTTTATTTATGAAGAACAACATTGTATGGACTGTCCTGATCCTAGCTATACCTGTGTGGATTTTAGGCATTTACATCATAAACAAATTTGTAAGTTAACCAATAATCTTGCTGTAATTTATGGTCAAGTGTGCAGTAAAATACTGCTTTGATCCAGCCTAATATTACATATTATTCTTATACAGTCATGTATAATGAAATATTTTAGGATGAAAAAGAGGAAATAGAGGACCAAGCAACCAGAAATCCCAAGCGCGATGTGGTAATTTTTTTTAAACAAATAGTTAATGGGAGAAGTTGTGTTATTATTATAGATTGCTAATTAAGAAAAAAGAAAAAAAATAATCTAAGCTTGGCTGCTGTCACATGTAGGAAAAATTTTTGGAAAAAAACCCCAGCTAGTTGATGTTTGTATTTAGGCTGTCTGATAATAAATGCTGACTCACTTACTCAACATTACTTGTATACACTTGTAATGGGAGAAGGGAACAAGCAGCAGACCAGACAGAGATTTGAACCCAGGCCTCCTGAATCTCTGGTCAGGTGCTCTACCGACTGAGCTATCTGGCCACCAGTGATTGATCATGGCTGACTGCCACACACTTTTTGATATATATCAATCTATTTGGGTGTTTTACTGTTCTCTCTTATCTTGAGTAAACATTTTTATTTGAAGATGAATTATCAATTCTTGTCTTTAAATTCCTAGGAATCAAGAGGAAAAGTATTACCAACTGAAAATAGGAATATAATAACTGTAAGGAGGTCAACATTAAATACAGCAAATCCAGTGGTCTAGAGTTTATACTGATCAGTGCAATGTTTTACATCAGTCTTCTTCCTTCCCATTGGTTGATCTTGTTAACCTTTTCTCCATTGGTTGATCCGTCTTCCAATTCAATGTCTGTGATTGAATGAAAACTGCAGGAATTTACATGACTTCAAAGTGCTCTTTTTGTTTCCTATGCACTCTTGTTTGGTTAAGTCATATGTGTGTAAGAATGGACATTTTATTACTCTTTAACACAGTCATGTTGTAAATAACTAGTTAAAAGCTCAGATATTTCCAAGGGATGTTTTTATTCAATGATCTACAAATTAAAAAAGTGAAATTTCTGTAATAAAAGAAGATATTAAATGGATGTAAATGTACAGATCAAAAAATTCTCATGAAATGTCCATCAATATAGATTTGTAGATTGATATTGGATTTACTTGTTTACAAAATTTCACCAGATTTGTAGTTTCAAAACAACACAAATGTCATGTGATTCTATATACATGCACTCATTGCTAAGAATCCTGAAAATTTTCAAATTGCAGTATTGCATAATCCTAGGTTTTGATTATATAAATGAATATGAGAGAGATACTTTTTTTTCAAACTTTCCTGTTTGTTGCTCATTATGTGAAAATTCTTCATTGCTCAATTATAAGAGTTAATAGTGTGAGGAAATCTAATATTAGCCTTTCATGCTCGCTTAGAATTGCACAGGGTGCTCAATTTATCTATTGTTTGTCATTTTTTATACATAGTCCTGAGTTATGTTTACATGTAATCATGTAAGTGATTTATAAATTAATGATATGCATTTATTTGAAAGTTAAGATGGAATTATATATATTGTAATCATTTATCGGTTAATGCATGCAGACAATTAACCTTTCACCAGCATTTTGTGCTCTGTAGCTTTCAGATAAACTTCAAAAAATATTTTCTAAATGAAAAAAATATTGTTTGATAAAATCTCCCTTTTGATGCAACATCTTCATTGTGTAAAGAATGTATTTTGTCCATTGACTATAATGAATTGGCTAATAGGTTAACTATTATGATTATCTTAATCACATAGTTATCTTAACTGCTACAGTTATGGTGAACATTAAAAATATTGACACCCACTATAACCACTAACACCCCCCCCCCCAAATCAAAGGGGTCGAAGATTTCTTTAATTTTTAGTTAAATAATGAAATTTTATATACAATGTATAACATTAGAGTGATTATCAATAGTTTTTTATGCCATGTTTTGTTTACTTAGTGTTTGTATTTTTTGTATTTTATTTAAGTTATAGATATGACGAATAAATATACAAATAATATTTAAACATATTATTGGTTTATCTAAAATAAATCTGATGTCAAATCGGGCGCCGCCCAATGTCATTGAAAAAAGGTATTATAAATAAAAAGTTTTAGAAACTTCAGCCAACAGTTTCATCAATAAGTTATACTCCGAGTGTTATATTTAAAAGTTGAATTTTTTTTTTTTGAAAAACAAATGGAAAGAATTTTCAGGAAATGTGGATAAAGATGCAATGCCTTAGGTAAACACATTCATTATTTGACTATCACGATAATAATATTTTGTCACTTTTATAGATATATATTTACATATTTAGCTGTGTCTTTCTTCTATGTCAACTGTGAAATTGATTTGAATTCTACCATTTTCGTGTATACTCACGCATAGAAATATACACAGAGAATTACGCGCTAACGCGACGTCGCGATGTCAGTAAAAATGCAACGATATAGGGCAGCGAGAGATATTCAAATATTGAGTATATTTTTGCTTTTTTGGTGCTTTCAAACATGTAAAATGTAAATACTCAGTATAAGGAATGTTTTAAAGTTTAGTATGAAGTATTGGTGTGTGAATCACACAGACTTGCACGTAGGCAGTTTTAAAATGAAAGGGTTCAATATTCAATGTAAAATTAAAGCGGGATTTAAAAAAAATAATTTGGTCCTCTGGAAGGTACTAACTGCAATTTATCCCTGACTGAAAATTGATACCGATTTCATATGCATAAGAACTGAATGTAGATTGCTTTAATATTTATTTATAAAGGTGTTAATTAAAATGGGATGACTTGAAAGTTTTTGCGGATATTTGTTTCCTTGTTCCGTGCCCTAAACTTATTTTCAATTTCTTAGGAGAGAGAAGGAAAGGGAGGGGGGGGGGGGTAGTAAAGCAGGGACAGGAAACCAGACAATCTTCATCACTGAATTGGATTTGAAATGCAAATAGATGTAATAATGATTAATATTGCTACATAAAAAATATCAAAAAGAAGATAAATTAAAAAAAAAAGAGGAGGTTTTTAATTTTTTTTCTTTCATATCCATGAATTTTTTTTCGGTGTGATATATCTGAAGTGCAATCGACATGTACATGTACTTCAAAATTATAAACTTGACATGTTTGTTATTGTTTTCCGTAACAACAGGAAAAGAAAAGATATATCGGGGCAATTTTTTGATTAAGATTTTTTGGTATGCTCTTTTAACATATCTATACATGTATACATACTGGACACATTCGAATGGTGTTGCCCATGTAATTCCCCTTCCAGTAGGCGGATCCCACTTTTGACTCCTTTAATTCAATCTCATTCCAGTAGGCGGATCCCACTTTTAGATCTTATGATTACTGAAACGGAAAACACCACTTAGTGGATTCATCGCCTCGTTAGACGCTAAGACAGGGAATTAGGATTTACATGTTAGACGTGATTACAAATCGGAACGACATGTGATTACAAATCGGTCCGTAAGGTAAAGGGCTCTTTCGTTTGTCTTTGATATTTTTCATTTTTATCTCTCTCTCTCTCTTCAAAAATTGTTTATTCTGCCGTGAAAATGTAACCAGTCCTCCGACTGCATCTTATGTAATACAAACTAATACTGAAATAGAAAAAAAAACTATACTTTGTTAAAGGATGTTTAAGTTAGATATACAAGGAAATTTTTATTTTTTACTAAACTGCTAAACCCCATTGTATTTTGATACTTTAAGGACAATTTTTAGGCGTGTTTAACTTGTAAATCAGAATTGATTGCAAAAACCCCGTGATTTGAAATTCATATAGATATTCAGAGCGTAAACACACATGACTATAAAATAGTTTATACAAGAATCAATTAAATTCATACCCATATGGAATGTTTTCGACGTTTTTTTTTTCCGCTAAATTTCACAAACATTGGTTTACAGCGTCGAATGATCATTTGATTTGGCTTTGAAGGTAAAGTTAAAATGTTTTTATGAATGATGTTTCGGACAACGACCAGCTAATGATCGGTTTAACACACACCGAGTGTTGTTTATATACTGTATTGTTTATACTGTAAGCGTCTGTAGATAGCGTAAACGCCTAAGTAGAATGCCCGTTTTTTTCTGTTAACGCCCATATCAAATATACATTGTTTTTTCAAGAGATGCACGGGCCGCTGAAGCTCACCGCGTGCAACTAATTGGTAGATCGAACTTTTAACATCATGATTAAATCTACGTTTTGATTAGAAAATTACCCCCCCCCCTCTTTCGCATCGCGAAGTCCACTCATTTTTTCTGAGAATTGTCTTTCTGCTGTCAGTTATGTTAATTTAACGATCGATATAATCTTATTAAATATTCAAAGTTTCCCTCAAATGTATTTAGAACTTATAGTCATGTATTTTAATTTCAACTGAAAAAGTGATTAAGCGATTTTTTCTACTTGTACCCCCCCCCCCCCCCCCCGAGGTTTTTGATTTTGGACAGTGTTCTCTCCCCTATCTGTTTTCTTTTCTACCTTTTTTGTCAAAGTTTTCCCTTTTTTCACTAGTCATTTTTCGCTTTTCCAACCCCTCCACTTTAAAATAAATGATATGTGCGTGATCTTAACGAAATAACTTGTGCCTTAACTAGAGCCGTGCTCGTTGCAAAGCAACGAGTAGGTCTTCCGTTGGAGCTGTGGACAGGAAGTACAGACCTTGGGTCAAGGTCTCTGCACTTTCATATGTCAATTAACAACCTGTCTTCCCAGCATGAGCCTCCAGTAAATTTTAATTACAAGGTTATGCTTAAACAATTTTTTCTTTGTCAGTGACCTTGATTTGCCAGAAAGACATTTGATCAGGGTCATGACAAAACTTCCAATTATAAGTAACCTATTTTCAAGTAAGAGCCTCCAATGATTTTCATTTACTAATTCATAGCGTAGTAACGAAAATATTTCTTCTGTCAGTGACCTTGATCTTAACAGAATAACCTTGGCTCTGTGTCAAGACAAACACCTTTAAGTGATTAGAAGTTTATAACCCTGACAGGAATTTTACAACTTTTCTGTCATTGGCCGATGAAGATGTTTGAAATTTGCATTATCTTGTTCCATTTTGTCACAGGTCAGAAAAACAACATTGAGGTATTTTAAAACATCACCGGATATTAATATTCAAACAACATGGTGTTTCTATTTATGAAAGATAGACGGGGTTGAAAGTCCCTTCCATAATACGTATTTTAGGTAATAGCTTTACTTTCAATAAAATTAAACTCAAAAGTCCACAAATAAAATATCTTTCCTCATTTATTTCAAAGTTTGGGTAAAGGGGGTGAGGAGCATGGGGATGTCATGATGTATACGTAATATATTCGAGGTTATTATTCCGTTAGACAGGAAGACCCGAGGAGTTGTGATTTGCTGATCATGATCTAAAACACGTTGACAAACCGAAACCACATGGTTTTATACACGTTATTCAATCAATTCATTCATAATTATTTTCCTTGAAGGAGGAATGCATGGGTAAAGGATTTAAAGAAAATTCCCGATGTACAATAGCATCCGTGCATGGACTTCATTTTAGTACTACATAATGATATTGTGCTTGAAGTTGAATAAAATCATCAAATAAATTAAATTTAAATAGGAAAGGGAGATTATGTTTAATAGAATAAAAATTAGACAATACTTGAGACAGGGACTCGCTGGTAAAAACTTGAAGGTACTTGAATAAAATGCCTCTCACTCACTCTCTCGTACGCGTATTTTTTAAACCAAGGAAAGTAATTTGCGCTAGATATAAGTTCATTTTAAAGAAAATACTGAGTTATATACGGTAAACGATACAAATGGTTTGACTTTGGTGCCGGCTATGATTTTAACAGTTTAATTTAGGTTGTAATTACATGATAAGTCTGTAATATTCAGATAAGATTGTTACCCCAGTATATAAGTTCTTAAATTTTCGAATCTGGACATATGCGGGTTTATTACTACATGTACTTGAATGTACATTATATAACCTGCTACTGATATTTAATCACGGAACAAAATTACAATGTTAGCACACTATACTAATCATTTATACGGGTTTTGAATAAATTATAAAACAAATTAAGTTGATTGCTTTAAAATCATTATTTCTTGAACTTTACTATAAAACCTCTATAAATTAATAGTAAGACAGTGTGCAGCACAGAAGTCACTTATGAAGTTTACATGTGCCGGTGTTACTTATCGATGTTTAGTCCATTTCATTGGGTATAATTCTATCCTTACGATTCGGAAGATTCTCTTTAAAAGTTTAAAATTGGTATAGCCATGGTTAATATCTGTGATGAAAAAAAATGTGTTTCGGAAAACTTGTGTTGAAAAGGATTTATTTGTGTATGAAAAGAGCAAAGCTTGTGCATTTTAATAAATATTGGTTGAAGTAAAGTAACTGCAGATCGCCAGTCCATGCGCTATGAATCGTCAAATTACACATGGAGCTAACGAACAGTTAAGAATTGAAGACTGATTGATGTACATGTAAAATAAATTAAACATGTTAAATGCCCCAGCGTTTTGTACTAAAGTCAAACCTAAAACATTTTAAGATATTTTTGAAAGATTTAATTTACTTAGAGAAAATAATATTTTCTTACTGTTGTAGAATGGTTTGTATATATATACCAATTATTTTGCCTATGACTGCGGGGTCAATGGTTCACCACGGTGTGTCGCTTTAGAATTTCTCGGCTGCGTGTAATCGAAAGATAGATTACGCAATGGTAAAAACACTTAGAATCTGGGTTCCAGGTGAATATGAGAATCGCGCAGTAAATAATTGTGTATTATTTGACTCTTAAAAGTTTTTTTTTTTTTATGAAATCCGGGCGTATATTGTTTCCGTTCAAATTGTTTGTGTTTATATTCAAATGAATAAAAGATACTCGTACTTTTTTTCTATAACTCTTTCTCTTGGAAAGATCTTTATTAATAAAAGAACATGATACCATCGAATACTCTGAACGGGAAACAAAGAACACGTTTAAAACCTAATTTAAAAAAGAGATATGATACAGCGTAGTAAAATATTTATTATTTACGGCAAGTTTATTTCAACTATACGCATAAAGAGTTCTTCAATATCAAAATGAGAATGGAGCCTTGTTTACGGTGAATACGGATCTACATGTAGCTTTCTTTCCTACCATACGTAAGGCACGAACAAAATAATATTTTCATGGGACAGAGATAGTATAAAAAGGAACAATTTTATCAAGAAGTAATTTAACCATTCTGTGGTGGTTTATTTTTTGTGTATGACTGTAGGTCGCTGGATCACACGCCGATTGATTCCCGGTGACCGACTTTGCCCTGCCGCTATCGAGGGAGGCGCGTTATATAATTGTAAACAAACAAGGTGAATGTTAAAGCCGTGCACTTAATGGCTGTGAATAGTATATGTGCCTCTTAGTTATGTTTTATTTTCTGACTATATTGTTTGCTTTTATAAGAAGAAAAGATCATATTTTCTTCCCTTTTTAGTAGACTTGGTTTATACGATTTTTAAAAAAATGAAATAAAAGGGAAAGTTGTCAGTGAATAAACATGATAATTTGTAAGAAAAAAGCACAAACACTTCGAGAACTTTATTCAGGAGAATATTAGCATCCAATGTAGCCATGTTTATTATTTATAGTAAGCTTGCTTTGGTTACACGCAAGAGGAGCTCTCGTTTACGTGCTGACTGAAAAGAATTACCTGTGCAGATATAGGTCATGCACCAGCTCATTTAAAACAAGACTCGAACACAATAACAATATCATGAGATCAGTAAGATGTTAAAGCACAACTTTATAGTCGATAGTCATTTCGAAATATTTACCGTTTTTGAGTTATAAAGCAAAAACTTTCAAGGTCCCATGATCCCTAATTATAGGGGCCAGCCCCTTTTGAATATTATTACATGAAAGCCCTTGCAATTATGCACAACTTTTGTTCATTATGTCTTAACAAAATATCTTTAGTTTTCAAGATAAAAAGGAAAATATGTGTAAATTTTCGCTCTTTTAGGCGTTCTAATTTTTGACCCCTATATAACGCCATTGTGAATACAGAAATTGAAAAACAAAAACCGATGTGCACAACTTTAGTCCTTCTGTTACCTAAAAGCAGTAAAAATTCTGCTCCAGCTTTTGTGGTCTCTGAGCCTTTATCCGGAAACGAAAGCCTATAAATTTTCGTTTAAAGGGAAATAACTCAAAAGCGGAAGTGAATTTTTGTGAGATACCACTCTGATAGAATTTAATAATGTCTATAATGTCTGAAAATTTGAGCGAAATCCGTTGATAAATGAGTGAGATATGAGGCCTCAAAGTTGGCGTCTAGGAAGTAGAAGAAAAAAAAAGAATAACTAGAGCAAAGCTCGTTGCAAAGCAACGAGTAGGTCTTCCGTCCAGTTTCGACCGGAAATGACGTCAACAAGAGAAAGCAATGAGTTAAGACGCATCCAAGGACTTTAAAATTTAAAAGTTTTCAATTTTGCGTCAAAATCTGCAAAATAAGCTATTTTTGACTACTACCGGTTTGACCGGAAGTGATATCAAGGGATGGAAAATCTGGTTGGACGCTTATTGTGCCATTAATTAAAGCCATATATGGCGTAACTGATCAAAAAATATATTTTTGAAAAATACAAAATTGAGTCAAGAAATATAGTTAGTACATTTAAATTAAAGCTTTTCATACAATTCTGAACACGGGGAACACCTCGTTTCATCTAATAATACGATTTTATCTTCTCTGTAATGTGTTATTAAATCTTTTGTATTTTCTTCCGAGTCGGAGAAAATTCCGAGAATCCAAATTAAATTGTGATATCTTTATAACCCAATTGACTTAGATTTTGTAATTTACGGAAAAGTTCTATCTTTATATGAAGTAATGATACAAATAATAAGTTCTTATAATTTTAGTCTAATAATTTTCATTGTACATACGCCATATATGGCTTTAACCAAAAACATGTCAAAAAACGCAAAATTAACTTTTTCTGATTAATTCCGTTTTCACCGGAAGTGACGTCATTTGAAGTTTTTGCATAATTTAGGCATCATTTCCGGCTGACATCAAAGTCACAAGTACAAAAAAACTTTGAAAAAACTCAAATAAAACCATTTTATTCTATTTCTTTCGACTGAAGAGAGAAAGTTAAATTTTTCGACTACTTCCGGTTTACACCGGAAGTTATTCCAATGGATGCGTTTTGCTGACGATTGTGAATGTGAGCATAAGTTTTATTTGCATTTATTCAAAATGGTTGAATTTTTCAAAAAATCTTGAAATTGAATATCACTTCCTGTGTCGACCGGAAGTGACGGATGCAAAATCAAAAGACGCCATGGATAACTTAAAGAGATGTTTTATCATCCCCGAAAATATCGTGATTCAATCTTGAGTGGTTAACAAGAAGATGCTTGGACAAAATGGCAATTTAAAAAAAAGAAAATCGGACAAAAAATGTGACCGGAAGTGATTTTTCAAAAAAAAAAAAAAAATCTGGAGATATTACAACATTGCATCATTTCTGTAAAAATCTTTGAAATCGGTTCAGTAGTTTCCGAGAAATCACGTGTACTATGAAAAGGGAATAATAATAATAATAGGAAACATAAGAAAAACAGTAAGGTCTTCCGAAGGAAGTCGGAAGACCTTAATAATCTTTACCAACAGAATCAGTAGAAGGTCTTCCGTTGGAAACGCAAGACCTTAATTACGCCTTAATTGCATAAAAAGGAGACTGTTTGGGGACCACACGCCATATCTGCGCTTTCAATTAACGATTTTTCGATGTTTTATTGTAAAAAAGATTATGCAGGATTAGTAAAATACAATTCTGTGCCATTTTTATTTTAAATAATTTATACTCCAAACGTGATTAATTGAAATAATTAAGAAAATGTATACTTAAAGGCAGAGATTTTTTACCGGGTGGTAAATTCCAGGTGAGGGAGGGGCTTATTTTGTACAGGTGTGAATGCCTTGGGGGCTAGCAGTCTACCCGTTTTGCACACATTTGTAATTAAGTATAGAACAATAGGTGTGAAGTGTGTTTTGATAGCAATTATAGTCTGATTTTTGGTTTGGATTTACCTGGATTTACCTGTGAATACTTGATTTAGCTTAATGTGTTAATGTAAGAGGTTTAATACAATTTTATAAGGATTTCAATAAAATTCTATATATATTTATGGGAAATTATTTTATTTTTAACCATTAAAAAATACTTAAGTTTTCAATCTTAATAAAATTCTAAATGAATTAAAGATATAACAAAAAATGTGTCGATGTATCAGTTGTATTATACTCATGAAATGAATCAATGTGCCAATTGTATTTTACTCAATAAATAGATATCAAATACATTAACTTTGTATTTATTCTCTTATTTTTTTCACTATAAGTTCATCTTTTGAAAATGTATTTTACTATAATAACAAGAGTCTAGAAACTGTAAAAGAATTTAAATATCTTGGTATCATTTTTTCAAGATCTGGCTCCTTTTTAAAAGAAAATTTCATGTATATTATATCAATATTTAATTGCTAATTCACAATCTGAAATTGGTAAAAATCCTTGGATTGACTGTGTTCATCATATTTTTGATTCATGTGGACTATCTCATATTTGGAATGAACAGTTTTATCATAATATTAGTCAAGATTGGGTTACTTCTGTTGTTAAACAAAGATTACAGGACCAATTTATACAAAAATGGCATTCTGATATTAATAGTTCCTCTAAAGGTATTTTGTATAAAGCTTTTAAAACAAAATTTGAGGGCGAAAATTATTTAAGTTTTTTGCCGTTAAAATTCAGAAAAATACTTGTCAAATTCCGTACTACTAATCACCGTCTACCAGTTGAGCTGGGAAGATGGGCATGCACACCATTAAACGAAAGATTATGTACATTTTGTAATGATAAACATGTTGCTGATGAATTCCATTTTATACTTGAATGTTCTGCACTGTCAAATATAAGAAAGAAATATATTAATGAATACTATTTTACAAGACCAAATATTCTTAAATTTTCCCAACTGATGACAAAACAAGATGCAACGTCACTTAAAAAACTCTGTATGTTTATATTAAAAATATATGACTTAGTCTGTCCTCCATGATTTGTTCCCCTCATTCATTTTATTATTATATGTATCACATGTGATTTTTTCATATTTTTTTTTTCTTTCTTTTCTCCCTTTTCATTTCTTGATTTTGTATATCTTATACTTATATACCTCTGACCTGATTATATATATATGTTGTAAATATTTCTCTTTGTCCTCATGTACCATGTATTAAAATGGTGTTGAGTGAATAAATGAACTTGAACTTGAACATTCTTACTAAGTATGGTATAGACTATAGCAATTAAGTAATTATCTCACCTGGTCAAACTCCCGTTTTTCACACATTTTTTAATTACCTGTAATTCAAATGTGTGCAAAACGGGAACAAACCCTGTGGTCATCTGTCCCCTAATCTCTATACAGAGGAAGTGATTTAATACACAGTGAAATACCCCAGGTGTCAAACTTTACCTGTGTTGGGGATTTTGAGACAATTTTAGAATTAGAAGTAAAAAGTTTTTTCTCTCAATTTTTTATTGATTTATTTTTGACTGTTTGAAAACACCCCTACCTATTTAAAAAAAAATTATTATATCACACTATGAATTTAAATATTAAAGCAAAGATTGTTTTAGATGTTATTGTTTGTGTTAATTTAAAGAAAACAACTCTTGTAACAACCAAATTAGACTTAATTCATTCATCCCCAGGAATCCCATCTATTAATTAAATGAAAAGAGAGCTGTGTGAACTACATTCCACAAAAAAATATCTGCACTGTAAGGCTATCCTAACCATGATAATTAAGGCTTTGTCACCTTGAAACATGCTTGTAAATTCTCATTTGAATAAACAAAAAAGGAAAATGTAAGTTACCCATGATTAGAAACATTTTTTTAAATTTAATTACTTTAAACAGTGCTGCTCTGAACTTTATCAATAACATTTCCACTTTACCATTAAGCATATTAAAAATTATATCGAAATTTCATTTGAAAAAAAAAGTTTTTGTACTAAAGTCTAATTTTTTTGGCTTTAAAAATGCATATTATATTAGTATCTTTTCAAATACTAAAGGTATATTTCATTCATTTATTATCAACCTAAAAAATTTCATTGTAATACAGTAATTCTGTATACCATGTTCAGTAAACATCAAAGGATCAAAAGTTAATTAGAAGGTCACCACGAGTCCCAATCAAGGTGTACAGGGTATACACAGGGACCAGTAAGTCACTGTCAATCAAGTTCCAGCATCCAATGATGGACCTTCACGCACTTGATTGACAGGGCTACCCCGACCAGGTATTTTTGAAGGCGGTGCTTAAAATCTCTGCCTTTAAAAGCCTATTCTCAATACCTGTATCAGAATCAATTTCACCCTAGCATAAAGCTCCCCAAATTGCGACACATGCCGCTAATTTGTATTTCAATAACAAAGGTAAACTGAGATACCCTACACCTGCAAACAAAACTCTACATCGCCTCTGCTTCATGTACAATACTCGGCTGCTGGGTCCTCAGAATGGTATCACACACCTGGATATATATGCTGATTTACACGTGTACAGGTGAGCATTGTTAATTGCTGTTTACCTTCTGTTTTAATTTTTAAATTTGTTTAATTTTTAAGGATATATCGTATTTTAAATGATCATGATTATGACTTTTCTCTCTCTCTCTCTCTCTCTCTCAGTTCCTAAATCACTAGTTGGCCGTGTCATAAGGAGGTCATCTGTCGAATACCTGAGCGATTCGGACCATTATACCTACATTATATACAGGTCTCTCCTGTAATTAGTATTAGTTATTGATGCCCAATGTCTCTATTAAGTTATTAACCCACGGAAAGTTTCTAAAGGGAATCAGTCAATATATTATGCGGACTGTCCTATTCTGTATTTTTCATATTTCAGGAATTTTATCTGTTCTGGGCTCTGTTCATCGTTATAAAAGATCTGTAAGTACTTTCAGTTATTGTAATTTTAATGTGCTGGTTTAATTATGCCCTTTCAACATATATACGTTCTTTATCCATCGATATACATGTATTTTTTTTAAAAAGATTACATGTATCATAAGTATTATCAGATATTCCGAGACAAAATACATGTATAGTTTGCCTGGTGTCTCCTCAAAATAACTTTTAAGAATTTTGACTAGACACTGTAAAACAGGATGAAGTTCCTTCCTTTATCGGGACTCATCAACTGCACAAGGACGAATGAAGTTAGAAATTACGCTGTGCATGTTCTTCGTGAAGAGCGTTTTACCTAAAATTCAAAATAATGAAATCGTGTTTTTTTTCCCTTATCTTCTAGGTTCGGTTCACCTGAAAAGAATTTTTTGAAATCACTTAATAAAGTAATTTTAATCAAAATTTATATAAAATATCATTTGAATGCATATTGTATGTTTTGACATTATTAAGGAAATTATAGAATCACCTACTGATGTTTCTTTTTCCTGTTTGGAGATATCTACCTTTTCCCCACCCATTTATGCTGAAAATTCCTTAAAAAAAACCCAGTCAAGATCGAACAATGTGGTTTTTCTTGACTAAAAGTTTATTGATTTATTTTACATTATATAACCATTAACAATTCTGAAGATAAAACCCTATAATTATAACAGTAATTTGATCCAAAGTCTTTCGTTTGACCTGATGATAAGCTTAAGGTCCTGTCGACTGGGACTCTTCGGATCACGTTACAGCTATAATAAGTAATAACCTATATATTTATCAAACTTCGTATTATGCCGTAAAACAGTTATAATCCTACTCATGTTTCCCTTCAGTATTTGTGGTTAACTCGTGTTCCTGAATCGTTTTGACCCTGTACATTGATAAATTAAAATTTAATGTGATTGATTATGTTGTGAAATTTAATAATTCTTATTTTAATTCCCGCCATGAATATGGCCACAGTGTTTTAGCTCACCTGAACCGAAGGCTAAAGTGAGCTCTTCTAATCAAAGAGTGTCCGACGTCCGTCTGTCATCTATAAAATGTGCATATTTTGACTTCTTCTCGGTCAAGAACCACTGGGTTAATTTCTACCAAACTTGCCATAAAGCATGCTTGGATGAAGGGGGTATAAATGTGTTCATAGGAAGAACCATGCCCAATTTCAAGGGAAAATGATGCAGAATTTGTGAAATTTTGGTGGCATCTTCTTAAAACCTTCATCTCAAGAAACACTGAGCAAGAAAAGATGAAACATGTGAAACTTTTCAATACGCAATTGATATTTTTTATTCAAGCCATTGGGCTCATGTGGGCGAGGTGGACAATGGGCCTCTTTTTCGAAAATGTTTAGGTAAATTTCAGAGAAACGAAACAAGATTATTCCGTTTGTGAATTCAATAAACAACTGAATATATTTTAAAGTCTTAATAAATTTGAACAAGTGTAGATTAACTTGTCTATTTTTTATACAAATGTATGATAAAAATGTTCATGGATTAAAAATTAGAAGTGTACACGTATGTTGAACGTTTTCATGGTCTCATTTTTTCAAGTCATATTTTTTTTTATTTCCCCGCTCCGAAATAAACTGTTTTACCTTGTGTGTCTGTGTGTGTGTACTGTGTCTGTGTCTGTCTAGCTGTCTGTAATAAAATTTCGTCGAAGTTTTCTGTCTGTGTGTACCAATTTTCCGTCGAAGTTTTTTCAACGACTTATCGCAGATGCTTGAAATTTCAGCACACAGTCTTTCTTTATTATACCCCTCGCTTGAAAAGCGGGAGGGTACACGTATATAGTAATCGGGATGTCCGTCTGTCCGTCCGTCTGTGACGCTTTGGGGTATCCATCTCTTATCCACAACTCCTTTTATACCACTGAATGAAATTTGATGAGGCTTTCAGAGAATCTTTATTACATAATGCCAGTGTGCCCCTCCTATTTTACTTTTTGATCCGGCACATATTTTGGGTTTACCTTAGCAAAACATGAACACTGCCATTTTATTCTTACCTATGACTTGAGGTATGGCGGCTTCTGAATAACATGGGGCACCACGAGTTATTCCTCTTTGCACGTTACAACAAGGCGCGGGATGGGGGTGGGGGTGGGGGTGGGGGGTTGTATCATTTTAGTGAGCTCTTTGCTCACAGTACATGTACCTCTAGTTCCTTATGATGTGATTCATATTTTTGTACGAATGTGATGTCAACATACTGTTTTTTTTGTGCATCTGACAAGGAAATTTCCGTCACATATATTCACTTAAAAGAGCATATAATCCACATCAGAGCGGGGTATTACTAGTGAGCATTGGCTCTCGGACCTCTTGTAATGGAAGAAATAAAACCGACTAGAACTCTTAAACAATTTCCATGTATTCCAAAACTTTTCTCTTTTTGATTGCAGACTAGTTGTGCTAGGAAGTTTCAGGTTATTCCAAACCATTCTGCATGTTTACAAAAGTCCTCAGAGGCGAGAAACTCAGGTTTGTTAAAAAATAAGACATGTAAATATATAGTATATATAGGACCAGATGATTTTATGTACATGCATGTATATACAAACTCAAATACAAAGAAAACATGCAGAAAGTTTATTTTCTGGGCATTACAATTATTTTCAAAATAAAAAAAAAACATGAAAACATATGGTAGTTTAAAACTACTATTTTTCATGCTTTTGTACAATTTTTAGTAAAAACGCATACAGTGAATTAAAAAAAAAATTGCAGCTATTTTTAAAGGGAAGGAAAATTAGTTTTCAATCATTTTTATTATTCTCAGTTTTCTAATCCTTTGATGTATGTCTAAATATCAGTCTGTTATTCAATGCTGTGATAATTTAGTTGACATATAAACTGTATTCTAATTTCATGAATACACTGAAAATTGAAAGCACAGCTAAAATATTATAAACATTTTAACATTGTTTGATAAGGATTTCTAAGTATATAATTTACTATAACCAAAGTTGCAAACGCACAAGCAAAGAACATTCCTACTCAACTTTTCAAGTTATTTATGATGTACAGTATTTGATATAAAAAAAATTCATTAAACTTAAGTTAAAAGTAAGTTATATAACGTCTAAACTGCCATAGAACACATTACAAAAATTGTGCTCAAAATTTTCATGATATAAAATTCTTTGAGCAAATTTATTCCAAAGAAACTATGTTTTATGTTCAACAAACCTGCATGGAAAATACATATAAGGATTGCTTTGTATGCTGGATTGGATCTACATTTTCCAGACCCAAACATGTATGGATAAGATATCTAGGGATGCATACTAGCATACGCGCTTCAGGCGCGGATCCAGAAATTTTTCCAGGGGGGGTCCACCTAGTCCAAAAAAAAATTCCAATCCCAGAAATTTCTTGACAAGCAAAAAAAAAAAAAACAAACAAACAAACAAACAAACAAACAAAAAAAAAACAAAACACCTAAACTCGTCCAAACGTCAAAAACCTATTTTGTGTGGTGGTGGTGGTTGGGGGGGGGGTAGTGGTGACTTCTATTGCCTCAAATCTTTCACTTTTCATACCCATTTCACACATATTCGCGTTTACCAGGGGGGGGGGGGGGCATGGTAACTTGTTTCTTATTTTTTTTGTATATACATTTTTAACCTGGTAAATTCCAAGGGGGGGGGGGGGGCACCTGACCCCCCAACCCCTCCTCTAGATCCGCGCATGCACTTCAGATGCTAGTGCTGTACCTGACTTATGATGCATCAAGGATGCTATACTTGACTTGCTACGGTTGCTAGATGTGACGAAATTACCTCTTTCAAATGATTGGACCAGGGTTAAACTTTTGAGCAAGTCCATTAGCCATGCAGTGACTGTATATTTCCTGTCTAGACCAAACATGTTTGGATGATGCATCAAAGAATGTACAACCACTTTGCCATTTTGGAAATGGATTTGTGGGCAAGAAGTTTCTTTGAGGATCTTGACATTACACCCAGTCAATTGGAAATTAAACTGCATTGGGAAAGATGGCATATTAGATATATACCAGAGCCAACTGGACAAATGTTCAATAAACAAATGAGAAAATATAGTTTGACTTGTTTATGGTGTGGATGTTTACCCTCTTTCCTTATGTCTCCATATAATAGGAATTTCACATTAATGCTGTAGATCACCAGATAAGTTACATACATTACCAGACTGAGATGTTTATGAGTAAGATTGGGTATTTATTTCAGACATTGGGAAACTCTATTTTCTATCCTATCAACCGTTTTCAATTCTAGGTGTTTCAGAAGAGGACAAGAAATCTATTGTAGATAAACATAATGAATTCAGATCGCTCGTGCAGCCATCGGCGGTCATCATGGCGAGAATGGTTAGTGGAACAGGTCCTTCATAGAAAAAAAATGTTTATTTTGTTGCTTTTACCCCCTCCCCTCCTTTAAACTCTCAAAACAAACTACATACTAACCTATTTAAAACATTGACTAAATCTCAAGGGCTAAATATAATTCCTTTTAGGAGTATTTTACGTTTGGGCGCCTCTTTTTAGGTAATCCCATATTTTCTACATACATAATAATATGCAGTTCTCTCTCGAATAAATGATTATTAATTATAGTGTCTGCTGAATGATAGCTAAAATTAAAAAAACTGAGTTGGAAAAAATACATCTTATGATAGTGTTCATCGTCAGAAGCCACAAATAAACGATTGATCTTTAGAAGTTTATACATAATTTGATGTTAATCACGTGTGATAGATATAATTTCTATTTTTTCGCGTCTGCTCTAAAGTCGCGAAGTAAGGAGTTGATCCCTACGTAGCGGATTCGAATCCCACTGTGGGACGTGGAGACCGGTCCTTGAGACAAGATCGTATAAACGTATTAACTGAGAAAAGATCCCTCATGGCTCAATGGTCCCGAGTGCCGAGTATAGGTCAAAATTTGTAGCTCTCCACCGGCAAGTGGTGGTGTCTCCATATAAGTGAAATTCTTGAGAGGGACGTTAAAAAACATACAATAAATCAATCAATCGCCACCTGACTACGTAAAAATAAGTAAATGTTCCTTTACATCAGCCATACACATGCACGAAAATGTTCTTTTCTGAACAAGTTTTGTTTCAAGTATAACCAAAAAAAGCTATATCTAGTAATTCATGTATAGCTGTCATTATATGAATAAAGTCAAACCTTGATATGGGCATGGGGCCAAAAATTCGTTTAAAATACCAGGTATCTGAAGATTTGACCTATCTAAGATAAAATAGGCATAGAAAACAAGGCTAAGCTTAAAGCTTCCAACTTACTTTGACATATCCACGGTATTCGAAATAAAGGTGTTCGAACTACGTAAGTTTAATTGAATTGTGGATTCAAATAAAAACCATTGTCTTTAAATTAATTACAGTCTGGGGCCCTTTTTTAAATCTTGACCCTTGTTGCAATAGAAAGTGTTTTATATGGGAATGTCCGAGAAAAAAACTATTAAAAGCAGCAGTTGACCATTAGTCACGTTTTAAATGTAAATTATATATTCATGAAGTGTATTGTCCAAATCTTACATGTACCCATCTTTTTCTAGTAAAGTTTTGCATTAATATAATTTTAATATGACGTTAATTAGTTTTGTTCAAACTAAGATACGTATTTTAGGATTGCAGTAAAGGGTTTCATTTATCTTCATTAACTTGCACAAATTCATTAGCCAGGAAGAAAACTGTGATCGACTCAGGCGAGCGTTACAACCCATAGACATCTTGTTTTGTGTTAAACGATTATTTTGTATTTTTTCACTTCATTAGTCATGGGATGATGAAATAGCATTGGTTGCTCAGAGCTACGCAGATGCATGTAAAGGTCTGGTACATGACGGAGGACGACAGCGCAGTATTCCTGGTAAGAGAATCGAATACGAATCAAATACAATGTAGTGTAGTTTAGCAGTATTCTTAGTAAGTGAATCGAACATCAAATAGTGTAATATAGCAGCATTCCTAGTGCGTGAATGGAACACGAATCAAATAGTGTAAGCTAGCAGTCTTCCTGGTAAGTGAATCGAACACGTGTCAGAGGTGATTCGATTACACACAAAACCAAACTTCATAAGAATCGTTACAAACAAAGATACATAGCAGGTTCCAGTAAATGTTCAAAAAGCCTCTTTCTTTACTCCTTACTAAGATATTAACATTGGTGATGGAGAAACTTTAAGGGAACTGTGCTGTAAATCAGATGTAGATACTTAAAGATTCCAAGGAAGTTTTGGAAATTTTGAAATCACAAGATTTTACCAAAATCAACAGCTTGAAAGACATTTCAACTTTATACACAACTATTTCCTACGATAATTTAAAGTGTAGGCTTTTTGATATCATCGACAGCTGCCTTTTCAATAAAAATGGAAGTCGAAAATCTACTAACCTTGTCATTTGTCATTTGTAAAATCATTTTGTTAAAAACTTTATTTCTGATTGGGCACACAAGTACTCTGAAGATGACACAAAATAGGTGCTTGAGTTTCTGAATGACAGTTTATGTTGGTTGTGGAGACCAGGTCTTCCAATATTTTATTTGAATTCCACTGGTACCAATTAACAAGGCCGTAACTAGACTCAAATTTTTAGTGAAGCAAGGGTGCTGGCATTCCTAGTCCCAGACGGGGCAAGGGTAGTACCTGATAGCCAGTGAGGGGGATCCTGAAACCTGGGTATTAGAAAATAAAAGATTTAATCTTAGAAAGTTTTTACTTTTTGTATTGTCACCGGCATGGAGCAGTGGTTAGAGCGTATACCCTAGAGTCGCAGACTAAGGAGTTGATCCTTACATTGCGTGTTCGAATCCCACTGCGGGATGTAAAGACAGGTCCTTCGGATGAGACTGTAAAAACCAAGGTCCTATGTCACAGTAAGTGATGGCACAAAAAAGATCTCTCAATCTGTTCAATCATCTTCAGTGACCATGTAAGCACAGTACAGATTTAAAACTTGCAGCCCTTTACCGTCAAGAAGTGATGTCTTAATATAAATGAGAAATTCTTAGAAGGGATGTTAATTATACAATCAAACAATTTACAAAACAATCAAATTGAATTATATTTTACATGCGTTCTAAATGAAAATGAGCCACCTGGTGAGATGAACGATTTACAGAAATTGAAACAAAAGTTGAAAATATTAATTTAGCAAAAAGACACACATAATTCATAAGTTCAGTGAAAGACATTTTTTTACTTTTCAGAAAACTCAAAAAATTTAGTCAGGCATTTGCCTCACTTGCCTCAATGGTAGTTACGGCCTTGATTAAAGGAAGAAAACACTTGCTCTGTCCTTCAACTCAATATTAAGATAAATCGACGACGTATTTTCAGTTAACAATTACCAGTAATATCCATTCTTTTGTCAATACAATATATCCCGGTGAACTTGAAATACAAGATACCGCAGAGTCTGACATACATGTATCTGATTCATATTTGGGTATTTTACTTGAAGAAGACGTTCATGGTAATCTAACAAACAAACACTATGATACACATTAAGGCCACAGGTGCTTGAGGACAGGACCCTCCCTTCCCCCCCCCCCCTTCGATATAGACCCCTGGGCTTTTTCGAGTTTTTTCTCCTAAATAATCTTTCATTGACATATTTGTGATAAGATCTATACCAACAAATCGAAGAATTACCTAAAACAAACGTTCTATAAAATCTACCCTACATTCCATATATGTTAATTTATATATAGAGAGTGGGGTAGAAAATTTTATAAAATGTTAGTTTAAGCAATTTTTCTGAATTGATGTGATAGATTATATCACAAATATATCATGCATATATAATTTATGTGAAAAAAGTCTAAGAGGCCCGGGGGTCTATATTGGGGGGGGGGGGGTCCTGTCCTCAAGCACCTGTGATTAAGGCTTTAACGTTTCTATTGTCAACTCCCCTTCTGAAACAACATACCTTCATCACCTGCATACGGAGTTTATATCTCAAATTTGATTCGATATGTTAGAGCATGCTCTACGTACCCTTTCTAAGACGAGGTTCATGCATATTATTGACATGAAACAGAAATATCAACAGTCTCGTTTAAAGTCATCATTTCGTAAGTTCTATGGTCGATACAATGACCTTGTCAGTAAATGCAATTTATCATTGCGTCTAATGCTGACCGAAGTTGTTCATACTAATTGTTAGTCCATTATTTATACACTGAATTGACGACGGATTTTCCGTTAATATATTTCCCGATCACGACAAGGAGCACTCGGCTGGTGTGACCGGTTAGCAGGGGATGGTCACTTCTCCATCTTCTCTATGGCTCTGATGTTGTGGAGGTCCGTATTTGTATCGTTTTATGGGCTTTTGAGCTAGAATGCTGTTCGTTTTCTCCGGATATTTCATCTTGATATCTTTAAAATGTGTAAACCCGTGCCAATTTGTCAGATATAACCTTGAGATTATTAGTATGATATAATACATTAAGAGCACTATGTAGTCTTTAGTACAAAACAATTACCGAGTAATTGGTATAACAGGCACGTAGCATCGTTTTTGAAAGTGGGGGGGCCAACCTGAAAAATTTTTTTTTTACTTACTTGAAAAAAAGTTGACAAGCAAAAAAAAAAAAAAAAAATAAAAAAAGGAAAAATTAAAAGTTGCCCAAAGTCGAAAATCCTATTTCGTGGGGGGGGGGGAGGGGGGGGGGAGGGGGGGGGTAGTGGCCAACTTTTTTCAAGACCAACTACCTTTCAATTCAAAATTTTTGGGGTAAATTTTCTTTATAACACAACCCTTTGCTGAAATGTGGGGGGGCCAACCTTCCTTTCAGTAAACATTTTCTATAGTAAAGGTAATGTCGGGAGAAAAAGTGGGGGGCCAGGCCCCCCCTGGCCCCCCCTGATACTACGTGCCTGTATAAAACGTATCAGACTGCATTCGGTCTAAGCGGAAGGTTGTATTTACAAACAAGGTCAAAATAAAGAATTTGCTAAGACTTAAACAGGTTTAAGACAATATATCAATTTTTTTGTAAATAGCATGTATCAGTATAAAATTAATTGTACTCCAACATGTTCTTGCTTATCAAATCATTTCGGATGCATCAACACCGTTTTCTCGTGATGTTGAAACATAACTACTTGTCAAAATTTCTAAGTCTCCACTTTTATTTTTTCAAAAATTTCAAAACCTTAACTTCAATGTACTAGTTGCTCTCACAATTTTGCCTTTAATTTGCAATACTTACCTGTCAAGGCCAAAAAATTGTAATTGAATGTGTAATTACTCGACCGTGACCGTTTTTGTTAAAATGCATGAAGTTCGAGTTCCATATGTTTTTCGGGTGTATTTTTCATATTTTTTACTTCCATGTGTTCTCGATCTTTAATTGATAACGAAAAACAGAAAAAAGTGTGATTAAAATGCGGGGTATGTCCACATAACAATATAAAAGTGAAGTTGAAATGGCCCAAGCTGGTCGTAGTTAACGAGAGTTCTGTTTCCTTTCACTATATGACTTTGTTTTACTTAAAACCTTTATAATTACTGCTCGAAAAACCTACAAAGCTTAACTGAATTCCTTTTAATCATGGGAAATCGCTAGATTTTCAACAAACACCACAAAATCATCGTAGAGTTTATCCGGAAATATCAATGGAACCGGAACCGGAAGTGGCCTCCCCTCAATGTCAAACTGGAGGAATGGGGAATACATGTAATGAAACATTATGTAACTATTGTCAGCAAGGCACAGAAAATTTCAATAAGCCCCCTTGCCATCCTAGTCTCAACCCTAACTTACATGTATGGAAGAAGATAGACCGGAGTGTGAGACAGCTTTTCCAGCAGCAGAATCTAGCGGAACTAGAGGACGACCTAGTCTCCACATGGAAAAACATTCAATAAAAGATTTTTTCTTAAATAGCGTGAACTCTTTGAGGAACAGTTGTCTTGCTGTGAATTCGTTTGAATGGAGGATAATGCAGTATTTAACGTTGTGAATTTTTAATTCTAGGGTACCTTAACAAATAATTCAATATAAGAGCGGTGTAAAGCAAAAACCTGCCTGGGGACTTAGAAATTTTGACTAACGAACGAACGTCTTACAGATTGCTATATAATATATATATAAAAACATAAAAAACATTATTATCATTTCACAGCAGTATAGCATAGTTTTAGAAGCGTACATGTAATATTAATTTTTTAATACCAATTCTATATGTATAATCATACTGTTTCCAGGTCGTTTTTCTGTGGGTCAGAACTTGGCGAGCGCGTCATACGACCTTGGGTGGGCAGGCGTAGTGACGCTATGGCATGATGAAGTAAAGGACTTTACATTGGGTGGAAATAATGATTTGTTTAAAGTGGGTCACTATACCCAGGTAAACGCAGCAATTTTAGTCTCCTTTTATTTTGAAAATTTTTGTTGTTCCCAGTCAAACTGAAATCAATCGCTAGTGACTGCATGTAATTGTATTGCTCAGGTTTTGAATAAAATATTATCATATTAATTTCAATTGGTTAATGATTATTTCAGTAATTTTGTTCAGATATATATGTTGTTATTTACAAATTCCAATTCTCGTTTATAATGTCTTTATAGGTTGTCTGGAAAGATTCCATAAAAATAGGATGTGGGTTTGCCGTCTGCGGATCAACGAGAAGCTATGTTTGTAATTATGGACCAGGGTAATTTTAAGTTCTTATTTTTTTCTTTTACCAATATCACATATCATTGGGTATGGTACAACATTTAACTACATACTAGGTTTTTATCTCTCAGTTGATTCTATACGCAAGAGCATGCTCTACATATGAACAATTTCTAAAACGAAGTCATTTATTGACAAAGAAGTTGATGAAACAAGAATATCAACAGTCTCCTTAAAAGTCCTCATTTTGTAAATTCTATGGTCGATACAATGACCTTATCAGCAGATACAATCTGAGGTTTACTACTGATTGTTAGTTAATTATCTATACACTGAATTGTCGACGGATTTTACACAGCGGATGTGGCCGGAAAGTAGGGAATGCTCACTCCTCCATGGCACCTGATCCCATTTCTAATGTATTAAAGATCTTTGCTTGTGATTTGTATTGTGTAATAGACTTTTGAGTTTAAACAATGTTCTTGTTCTCCAGACTATTTACGTTGTGGTGATTTTCAAATCTTGTTTTACTCTGAAAAAAAAAATGATAAAATCGTATTTGATTATATTTCCTATTGTCATTTTGCTGCTTAAATATAATTTTATGTTGAAAAATATACTTTAACTAATCAGTACGTTTGACTATTGAATATAAATAAGCTCTATTTACTTTGAGTTTTTAAAAATATATTTTAAACCGTAATCTTAATGACTTTTCCCTATGATAGAATGCTTCATTTGACGTACTTCAGAAATGTCTTTAAAAATAAAAACTAAGGCATCAACCCAAAAGTAAAATTTAAATACATATTATTTTATCAGGGGTAACTCGGATATCAACAATCCGTATACATCGGGGGCGTCGTGTAGCGGATGTCCGGCGACCTGTAGAAATAATCTTTGTGGTAAGATCATCTATAATTATTTCTGTTAATTGAATGATAATACGGTAATGCAAACTGTATTAACTTAAATATAATCAAGTTTACGGTGACTCTTTTACGTCATATTTGTTTTAATTACTTAATATGTTTTCATATACGGAAGTCTCCGTGGGCTTCATATCAGGAATGGGGTCAATTACATAGGAAAGTAATTAATTAAATAACAATTACTTTCCCAAAACCTTCAATTAAAGTACCATTACCATTACATGGATTTTGAAATGTAATTAATTAAATTACAATTACTTTGCAAATGTAATTAATTAAATAACAAATTACATTCAAGAATACACGTATAAAAGTAAATAGTCATGTATATTCCTTTACATTTATAACAGATTATTTTACAACATTTTTTACAATAATATTATTAAAAGCTTCATACATTTTTCAAATACTGTGTCCCCTAACCTAATATATCTTCAATTAATTTGAAGATTTTCCTGCCATGCTGAAGATTTCTTCCACTGGGGCATTTGTGAGAAAATGCATAATTGTAGATACTGACTAGTAGAAAGTTTACAGATGGTTTTACCTTAATTCATGTGTTTAAATTTTGGAATCATTTTAAGCTTTCCCATAAACAAGTGATAAATTTATGCTAAATGTACTTTTGATGCTTTAATTTGTCTTTATATTTCCTTATTTCAGCATCAAAATGTGTGTATTTGACTTATTCTGAGCCAAACTATTATTTAAAGTCAAAGAGTATGTATAAAAACACCAACAGACAAAGTCAAAGGTGTGAAAAATGTTTATTTAGGAATAAGTATATGACCCCAAGACACTATAATTAGCACCTGTTAATAACTTCCAAAACAAACTGAAGATATGGCCAACAAAAGGATTAGAAGCCATTGGAATTCTTATTTTTATATGGATTAATATGGATTATTTAATTAAAAAATCAAAATTATTTTTATTTGTAAACTTTTTACAAAGATTAATTTGATTGAAAAGTTTGATTTTTTTTAATGAAAAGGGGCATTGTATTTAAACTACAATTGACATAAAAAGGGAAGTTCTTTTCAAGAAATTTTACTAATAAAATTTTTGGTCCAAAATATAAGTTATTAACCTTTCATAAATAATGTTTATGAAATTGACGAAGAGGAGACTATTTTTCATTTATTTAAAATCAGTGTAATTGAATGTAATTGAAAAGTAATTGTGAATTACATGCCTTTTTGGAAAGTAATTAATTAAATTACCATTACTTGTAATTTAAAATTTGGTCAATTACACATTACTTTCAATTACATCGAAATTTGTAATTAATTACAATCAATTACCATTACACATTACCATTACCCCATCCCTGCTTCATATTGGAATTATATTCCTTTTATTCGAACATCTTATTTTTATATATTCCTATATATCAAAAGTATATATTAAAAGTAAAAAGAAAGAAATAAGATGCAAATTAGTTTAAAGATTTTACTTAAACAATAAAATGCTTTCTTTGTTTGTTATTACTGGAATTAACGGAAGCAGCTGTTGCAGAAAAAATATATAACCCGCTTACGCGGGTTATGTAAATTTTTTAAGCAATAGCTGCGACCGTTAATTCTAGTAATAACAAACAAAGAAAGACATTTTATTGTTTATATTTATATCTGTTTTAGTAATCATTTAAAGTAGGATTAAAAAGATTAATTATTGTATCAATGATGCGAACGTCTTTATACGTTTCATTGATGGAACAATCACTGATCAAGAAATCAGAACAGGCGACATGCCTAATGTAGTTTCATGCAGTGATTAACGCAATGGGTTTTCTTAAGAAATAAAGGAGAAAATATTCAGTGGATGTAAATATAAAGTAATATTTCTCCTTAAAAGAGATCATCTGGTCCCGAAAGTTTTTTCAGGATTAAATTTTATTGTATTAATTTTTTTTATTCTAGACTGCCAGGGAAAGGCTTGCGAAAATGGCGGGACGATGGATTTCAACACGTGCACGTGCTCTTGTAAAACCCCATCTACTACATACCTTGCCCCATCCTGTCAGTGTAAGTATTTGAATAAATTATTCTAAAATTCAAAATCCAAATTGAGAACTATTGGCATAAGTTGAACTGACCATTCATTGAGTGAATAAACAGTTCTAAAGTTCTCCAAATTATACTTAACATTTTTTATACTTAATGCTGCATGAGTAGTGATGGATCTTTGATACAAAGAAAAATTATTTCTTACATGAGGAAAGAGGGAACATACATGTATGTTAAAGACTATAGCTTTACATCTAATTTTAATAAAAAAATATTTTTGCATTTGTTTATTCTGATGTAGTAAACTGCACAGGACAGAAGGATCCATTTTTCTGTGGGACTCAGTTTACCCCAGAAATGTGTGACAGATTCACCAATGTACCACAAGACTGCCCCACGATGTGTCAAGTCTGTCCCTGTAAGTTTATATAATGTGTGAAAGATTCACCAATGTACCGTATGACTGTCCCACGATGTGTCAAGTCTGTCACTGTAAGTTTAAACACATGTTCGTTTCCAAAAGCCATTTAATTGAAGAAACTGACTTTTGAAGATCATTTCAATTTGGTGAAGTTTTGTATTGTCAAGGTTCAGTAATACTCTGGTAAGAGTGACAACTCTTCCGTGTAAATATCATTAAATATTATTCCTTTATAAGTTTGTCAAGTTTAAAAATCTTTTTTGACCGATTTTATACCGCACGCAATGCCAAAAAATATGTGATTTTACTTAAAGAATACATTTTATTTGGTAAACCATTACGTTAAAGCAACATTTTATAAGGGGGGGGGGGGGGGCAAAGCAATAATGAATCTGGTATTTTTCCTTTCTCTGGAATTTCTTTATAAATTTCTAATTATAGATACATGTTAATTTAACATAACATTTATTGTTTTATGGATATATATGCAAGTAGAAGCCAAAAATGTACTTTTTATAAACAAAAACTTAACCTTTTCTTTTGTAGATGCAGGTGTTAACTTTCAGCCAGGAAGCGGACAGATTCGACCGGAAGCTTATACGAAGTTATCGTTCCTGTCTACAGTTGTCCTTGTTGTTCTGCAGTTTTTTCTATAAAAAACAATGTTTCTTTTCTACTGAAGTGTACAATGTATTATTATTGCTCAAGTTTATAAAAGAAACTTGTTACACTTCTTGTTAAGTTTAATAAAAAGAATAAAAACAATGACACAAATATATTTTTTTTATCAATTTACTAAATATAAGTTACGATGGTTTTAAAAAAAATCGCTTGGTTTGTATTTAAAATTTAATTCATTTATGTTTGGATTTGAAAAATAAACAAATGCTTTGTTTACACCAACTCTCAAACTCTCAAAGATATGGATGTAATGTTCTTGCAGGTTTATCTAGTGATCTTTTTCCAATTAATGTGATACCCTTATCAAAATGAAATCCATTTAGATACCATTTAAAAGCCATTTCTTTTCTTACCATTTAAAGACCATTCAGAAACCATTTTATTTCGTCAAATCTTTCAAGAATTCTCAACAGAAAGGCTGACCATTTAAAAACCATTTTTCATTTTATCTCCATTCAAACTCCATTCAAAGTCCATTCAAACACCATTTTTTTGGGCCCTGTAACATGCAAATTAACCATTCCAAAACCATTTATGCAAATGAGATGAAAAATAAATGGTTTTTGTTTTAACCATTTAATATCCATTTTAAAACATTTTCTCCATAATTGAAAAATGAAAAAATTAGGTGGGTCCTTAATTGATATCCATATGCAAGGAATATTAAGCACTTTAAAAATCCATCTTCTTAGTTGCAGAGTCAGTCACAAAATAGAGGTCACTTGTTCAATTTTTTTCACATATTTGGTTTGTGAATTCCTGGAAATTTTTATCAATTAAAATCCCAATTTGATCTGAATTGTGGTAGTCTTGCTCCATCTTTGAAAATTTATATATTCTCGTGCTCATTTTTGTGCTCCATCATGTCCATATGACAATGTATGCAAGCAGTATTCTAAAAATAAAAGGAAATGCAAGAAAATATTTACAAAAAATTATTATATGATTGATGTTAATCAATAAGAATTCACAAAAGAGTCCATCAGTCTGACAAATTTTCATTAACAAGATTGGTTTATAGTTTATTGCATCAGATTGATTAATGGACACTCGATCCTTTTGCGCTTTCTTTGGGAAACAATATTTTTCTGTTACTGAAATTAATAAAAATTATGTACATATTTATACTTACCACTCAAAAAGAATAGGGTCCTTTCAGTGTATGGAAAACGAATGTGTTGTATTTCTTCTGCTGTAACGTACGTTTAAACTTCCCAATTGGGCAAATGTTTGAAACATGAAAACAGTCACAAATAATCATCTTCCAAGAAATAAGTTATCTATTTCTGCTTTGACCATCAATATACAGTTTTGTCAGCTTCAAAAACACTAAAAACCTATATATTCCTTGAAGAAAAGTCCATCCATCTAAACTCACTACCAGCTAGGTCAAAGTGCTCTTGTCCACTATTCAAACTTAAACTGGAAAAGGCGGTCACTACAGAGCTTGGGAAGAAATCTGATATCCAGTGCCCCATTATAAAAACCTGGCACATGGCATCAATTAACCACTGATAAATCTATTTTAATATTAAAGGCTAAGACTAATCATTTTTTTCTTGTCTCCATTTCTCAGAAAATAAATGGGAGAAAAATGGCCCCATCTAGCAAGGTGGATCACCAAACTGGCATTTCTTTTCCATTTACTCAAATAAATGGAAAGAAAATGTTGGAACTTTACCATTTAAAATACATTTTCTAACAGAAATGGTTCTTAAATGGTTCTGAGAAAATGGTTTATGAAAATTGAAAGATAGAGAAATGTAGAAAAAATGGTTTTGAAATGAAAAATGGCTAAAAAATGCTGAATGAATGGAGATAAAATGGAAAAATGCCATTTCTTTTTGCTATGGGTAATGTTTATGAAAATTTCAAATTAAAAATAATTACAAAAGTAAGATCCCTAAGACTAGGTATTGATATTCAAATATTGGAAGCAGTACATGCGTACATCGCAGCAACCAAATGGTTTAATCGACACTGTCATGTATGTTACTTACAATATTTCATAACCGATACTTAATGCCGTAATTTTTTCTACTTTTTTCTTGTTTCTTTTTCTACTGTTCGATCATTTAGTATTTATACATGTATAGTTTGTGCATTTACTTTGACCTTGTAAGGATAGGGTTAATATAGGCTTTGCCTTCTGCCCAATCCCATTCAATTCTATTTGTGAATAAAATTTTGTATAAAAAAGAAAATATTCATAATAAGAGCATGTTTAATTCGTTGATTTTTTATTTTGATTATCAATTTATTATCAGAATGTTACATTATAAGAATTACATACATGTTTTGTTCATACATTCATTCATTTTATTATTCAAAACCCTTAAAAATAGTGAAGAGGTACACACATATTTACAACAGATTGGAAAAGCCAATAATATTTCAAATGAGGATAAGAGAAAATGTCATTAATCTTGGTAATAAATGCACCTGGTGCAGATTAAGATGTGTAGAATATTTTCGTTATTAAAAAATACTTTCCTAATATAAAAGGTTAACCATGTAATACAGTAATAAAAAAATCTCCATTTAGTTTATTATTGCAAAAATAATACCCTGTTTCATATCTTCGAAGGTACATTATACTTATTTAATTTGGTGATTTGTTTTCTAAATTTTATAATGGCTTAAGATATTCATATGACAATTTTTCCAAGAAAGATATTTTTCTTACAAATTTGAAATGTGTACATTATGCATTGGGAAACGTTCAGTTTCCCATATACATGTACATGTACTATAGAATTTTGAATATTAAATTGTAAATTTTAACTGTTTCAAAAATCGTAAATTTAAAAGTAAAAAAAATCAGTATTTAAAAATTTCCTTTTCCAGATATGGAAGAATAGAATAAAAACTTATTCAAAAAGATTTCACTGTCAATTATAAGCATTTTTTAAGTTAAAAACTCGGTAATAAATTGTTGCTACTTAAATCAGTCCTTTGAGTTTCATACACATTTGCTCTTGATTCACAGTAATAAACACGAAATTCTGAATAGCATTTCACTTTATACAGCGACGAATTATATTCAATAATAATTTTGATTGATTTGACATGACTAAAGGCATAGTAATGACACAACAATGACTTATTTACAAATAAATACATCATGCTTAACGATGAAGATACACTATAATGATTAAAAACCAAATACTTTTCAATGCCGCCTTTGTATTACCATTACCTCTTAAGAAATGTACATTTCTTTAATTTAGGAGCGCATCATTAACAATTCAAAAACGTAATACAGTGAAAAAGAATCCAGAGCATTTTTTTGTTTTTCTAATGACCTTCACTAAGATAAATGGGTATAAATCGTTTATAAGTTAATCAAACAAAGACATTAAATACTATGAATTTACCTTTTAACTCATTATATTGGAGATTATAAGAAGCGAAACGCTGATTTTTAGTTTCTGTTAGGAAAGAAGAAAACCTCTTGGAAAAAAGTTGTAATTTTTTTAGTATTGTTACCCAAACTGATTTTCTCCAGCCCTCAGACTTTCAGAATGGGACTACAAACATGCGTGGTGCTACTCGTGTACTTAGGTAAGTAAAAATATATTTTTTATTTAAGATTTATTAATATGTGGTCTGGAAAAAATAACTCTTGAAGGACTTTGATTTTCTTGAAAAATAAAAATTAAAGTAAAAATATTACACATTTAAATTCGACAGCATTGTCTTTAGTTTTAGTTTACTTGAATGTTAGAATAAGATACCTTTTTGTTTTTTCTTCAATTTGTTTGAAATTGTGACACTTTTGAATGACACTTCAAATTATTTTTGGTTTGTCATTTTCGTAGATTTGTATTATTTGAAGTTTCCATAATGATCAGATAGACCAAACTTCCCGTTATAAAAACAAAGACCGAACAATTGGCATGAAACAAAACAGCCCAAAAACCGACCCAGTGATAGGTTATATCAGCCAATGCACAGATAAAAAACAAATAAATATGCTTAAAAGTGATTTATGTTTCTGAATATTGCTTATCTATCAATTTAAATATTTTGGAGAATAAAGAGACCTTACTGGATATCAAGATGTATTGGCAGTTCAGCAAAATTTAAAAAAAAATCATAAAGCATGACATATCTTACAATTTGTAGAGTACAATATATTTTTCCCTTGAGAAAGCTGTTTAGATAGTTAAAACTCCGAAACAATTTTTATAGCACTGAACTATTTTCCTTTGACGACGAATATTATATTTTTAGGGGAAACAGTTATTTTTCAGCAGCACTGATTCTTTTATAAGCATATATTCCTCGTTTTGTTTCAAGATACTTTACAAAAATCAAAATATAATTCCTCGGCAAAAATCAAAATATAATTCCTCGGCAAATTCATTATTCTTCCTGCCGATATAATATTCGCAGATATTAAATTTAATTTTAATTTTTAAGGCGAGAAAAAATCTTTCTGTACCATGAATTAGAAACTGAAAATTATATCTTAATTTTTCCAATTTTATCTTCATAAATCACAACAATCTCACAAATATTGAATGTATTTGTGTTTGAAAAACATACATGCACAAATAGGGCAAAATTTATCCAAAAGAGGGATTTTGTACTGTTTATAGGTGACATATTGCTATGTGTTTTCGTCCGCCGTCGTGCGTTGTGTGTTAACATTTAAACATTTTCAGCTTCCTCTCTGCAACGTCTCAACCAATTTCAACCAATTTTGGCAAATAGCATCTATGGGTGAAGGAGAACCAAAACTTTCATAGTCCCCCTGGGGCCTGAGGGGCGGGGCCATAACCACTAAAAATTAATGCAATCTTTTAAAATTTTCTTTACTCCTGGACGTCAAGCAGTAAAAATGTTGGCATGATTGTAATCAGCATTGAGTCCTCTACAAAAATTATGAATTTCATTGCCACAGGGTTAGAGGTTCAAATGCTAGGGCGGGGCTAAATAGATCATATAGTGAAAATGCATTATTTCTTTGAAAACCTTCTTCTCAGCTCTTGGGCATTAAATTAACTAAGTTCATAATTATGTTGAATAAGACTACCTCTTTCAAAATTGTAAATTTCATGGCCCCAGGGTCAGGGGTTCTAGTACTAGGGCGGGGTTATATAGATTTTGTAGAGAAAATGCATGATTTTTTTGAAAATATTCTTCTCTATTCCTGGGTATTAAACAAACTAACCAAGTAAATAGTTATGATGAGGAAGAAATTCTCTTTCAGAATTATGAATTTCGTGGCCCCTGGGTCTGGGGTTCTAGTGTAAGGGTGGGGCTTCCTAGATTATATAGTGAAAACACATTAATTCTTTGAAAATCTTCTCCGCTCCTACGTATTAAACAAACTAACTAGGTACATAGTTATAATGAGCAAGAATGCCTCTTCCAAATGTATGAATATCATGACCCCTGGATCAGGGGTCATGATGTTAGGGCTGGGCTCTAATGATTATATAGTGAAATGCATGAATTCTTTGAAAATCTTTTCCTTTGCCCCTGGGTATTATGCCAATGATCTAAGTGTATATATTTGTGATGAGGAAAGGTGCAAAATTGTTAATTTAATGCCCCCCTTGGTCAGGGGTATTGGGGTGGGTGGCTAGGGTGGTTGTGTGGTTACATAGTCTGAAAATAAAATATTGCTTTGAAATCTGCTCTATGGTATTAATCAACCATTTATGATATAATAAAACTTATGAAATAATTTCAAAAAGTTTGAAATATGTGGCCCCAGTGGTTCCTTTGGGGTGGGGTGCAAAACTGGTTATAAACTGGATATGCATTTTCTCTTTGTTACTCTGATCTACCTCTGGGTATAAGTAACCAGATCAGCATGCTAAGTGTATAGCAATGAAAGCAATGGTGCCTCATTCAAAACTGTGAACTTCATGGCCTCTGGTTTAACATTTGAACCAAATTCAATTGTTGGAAAGTTGATACATGATTCTCAGGTGACCAATAAGGCCTGTGGGCCTCTTTTTGAAAGGTTTTACTCAAAGTGTGGTTATACTCACAGTATGCTTACAAATGTTAATGCATTATTCGGGTAACTAAAAATATGTAGGAAAATCCTGCTATATCGTTATAAAAAAATCACTTTTATAACATATTTACCTCTCCATGGTACTTGATCCCACCTCTGATGATTTAGATGTCTGTGTTTGCTCTGTTCCTGATTTGTAATTTTTGAAATGAGTTATGAGCTTCAATACTGCTTGCTTTCTCCATATCTCATTCGTATCTTTACGAGAAAAAGATGCATTTGAATTCCATTTGCCAAAGGATCATCTCACAACCTTGATTTAAATAGTGTCATTTGTTATGAGCAATTTTATAATAACGTACTTATCATTGTGTTAAGTGAAATTATTACACAGAATTTTGACTCAGAATTCAACAATTCAATTTATTTTTTGTTCATTAATGGTTTTGCGTATAAAAATTTCCACAGAATTGATTTTTTTATCAAAAAATTGGTCGTAACTTTTAAAATATTGGAGCAATAGTAACCTTGCACTCTTTCTTAGCTTTTCTCTCTTTGTAATAAAATAGAATTTTATTTGAATCCATCTGAAATTTCGCAATATTTCAATCACCCCCACATAATTATTGAAAAAAAAAACTCAAAACAACAACAAAAGACTTTAAATTTATTACTTCTGTCTGTGTTCAGATAAAGATATTGTATGAAGATTATGTTGAGATAACAGAATGTACTTATCTATTTAACAGTATTGAACAGTATGATACAAATAATCAATATATCTTCCCAATACATCAGTTATATCTTAAGATGTCACTTTACATTACTAATTAGGTGTAAACAATAAGCTGAAAACAAATATAAAATAAAGTTAGTAATATATAAAAATGCGTCGTAAGTTTTCCAGTGAAATGATTGATTGTCATGTTTTGCCAAATTTTAAAACCATACACAAGTTCTAATGGAGAAAATGAATCATCATCACTTTTCTCTGTCATTCATTGCTCGATATAACAAATTATGATGTTCCACTACAATTTAGATTATATTTTTAGGTCTTCTATTATTTGCGAGTGCTGATGAGCGACTTAATAGCTGGGTACGTATTTTTCGTATGTTTGCTCGTATAAAAATCTAATGTCTATAATGCCTTCTTTATTTGTTGAATGCATGCTGCATGGACTATTTTTCGCAGTTTTACCCCTCATAATGCTATTCTCTCCAGAATACTTTTTTCATTTTTGTTAAGATGCCCCTTCAAAAACCAAAAAATGGCCATTTTCTAAGGACTTTTTTCTCTTAAAATTTGGAAAGAAAAAATTGAAAGAAATTTTCGCTACAACCAAAATTCCATTTTATACTTCACTTTGACTTTAATCCCTCCCATAATTCTCAGTGGAATCCTATTTGACTCGTATCGAAATTAATGCTTGAAAACCTAGATCTTACTTAATTAGCTTTTGTATAGCCTGTATTTTAGGGAGAATTGCTCGATTGGGAATTATATCAATCAATAAGACAGAGCCAAAGACCAAAGAACTCATGCAGTACAAGAAACTCAAACCAACGAGCAAAGAATTCTAAACTTCCTCCCTAGAGTGCCGCTTTAAACACACTCGCAAAAAGTTTGCAGAAGATGAAAAATTTTCACAAAAGATCTACTTAAATGACAACTTTCATCAACTAGCATGATATTCAAGAAACTGTGCCAGACGATTTAAGGTTTCTTATCTAAGATATCAAAACCCTCGCTCCTTCAATAGGGAAAAGATCCAAGCATTTTGTCCTATCACTTTCGGACGTGATCTAAGTTCTTTCCTTCAAGAACATGAGTTCTCCAGTAGTCCTCCATTGTTATTTCTGCTTACCGAATTTCTGTTAATATCTCTTTTTCTTAAAAAAGAAGACTTTTGCAGTCATCTTTTTTGTTTAAATTTTCCTCCCCTTCTATCAATTTAAATACACATCGGTTGTGTGCTTTTTCTCAAAAAGGACAATAAATTTCCGAAATTATGGAACGGTTTGATACATTTCAAAGATATCAAATGATTACAGGGAAAACTCTTTAAAATTACAGGGAAATATCTTTAAAAAAAATGAAATTTGACATGATTGCATGATAATTGTCTTTGCTGTTTGTTTTAGGCTAATTGTGCAAAGAAGTATCAGGTTATTCCTAACCATTCTGCCTGTCTACAGAGGTCTCCAATGGCTACACAGTCAGGTATTATGCGAGATAAAGTATTTAATTCCTCATTATTCCGCTGTGCATAGATATCCCCAATGGCTAGGGACTCAGATTTGGTGTTATTTTAGGTGTTTTATTCCTACATGTAATTACATCATTGTGGAAAGGCATCGTTGTCAATCAAAAGAAAGCAATTCAATTAAACGTCAAATCTGCGATAAATTTCAGATTTTTTTCATTGCATTGAACTATGAATAAAATTTTTAGGCCAATTTCAGACTTTATATTTTCTTTTATCATGTCCCACACAGATAAAGCATAGAAAACCAAGAACATTGGTCATTTTCACACAACCGTATTTTTTTCCCGTAGGTGTATCAGAGGAAAACAAGAGAAAGATTGTCGATAAACATAATGAATTCAGAGCGGCAGTACAACCAGAAGCAGTCGTCATGGCTAAATTGGTACGTTTGTTTGTTTGTTTGTTGTTTAACGTTAAGATTTTTCACTCATATAGAGGCGTCACCACTTGCCGATGGAGAGCTGCAAATTTTGTCCTACTCGTCTCTCATGGTCATTGAGCAGTTAGGGATAATTTTCATGGAAGCATCTACCGTGACACGGGATCTCGATTAAAATGGTCTCATTCGAAGGACCGGTCTCCGCGTACCACAGTGGGATTCGAACCCGCGACTTAAGGATCAATTTCTTACCCTGCGACTCTAGAGCAGACGCTCTAACCACTACGCACGTGGGCGACAATAAGGTTCTTAAACCAGAAGCCTGTTTAACAGAGTGAGCGCTTAATTGCGAACATTTCTATTAAAGGCAAAAGAATGTTTGGCGAGCGCTCGCAAACGTTTGCTCTATCTGTACAATATATTGGTATATAAAAGAAATCTACATTTTTATGACACTTATCATTTATTGAAAACCTATAATTACTTTTTCTCGTTCCCTTACGCCTAAGAAAAGATGAACATACATGTATACAATTTGATATAAAAAATGCTAATCAAACTTGATTTTTTTCTATTTTGAAAGTAATTCTATTGTGTCTATTCTATATTTTATCAGTACTGGGACGATGAGCTAGCTATGGTCGCCCAGAGATATGCTGACACCTGTAAGGGACTGGTACACGATGGTAAAAGACAAAGGAGTATTCCTGGTAAGTAGATAGAATACGATTGTAAAGTTTTTAACACTATATAACAAACACAACGCAAGTTTGTTAGCCCTCCAAAATTTTAATTAAATTAATGCTGAAGTATCATGACATCTGTGACACCTTGTTAAGTAATTTTGGGAATTCAAGCGTAGGTACATAATTATAATATTTCAAGTAGGGAATCGGAGGTTTCATTACATGATAAATAATAATAGTTTATGCGCATAATACTTTTATTGTATATAATTTACTATGCAGTTCTTTATAATGATGTTAAAATAATTTTCTAGGTCGTTTTTCCGTTGGACAAAATATTGGAAGTACTTCAGAAGCCACGGACTGGGAGGAAATAGTGAGACTGTGGCATGATGAGGGAGAAGACTTTACATTGGGAGGGAGGAATGATCCGACGCAAGTCGGTCGATACGTACAGGTGATCAAATGTTATATATACCTTTGCCCTTATTATGTCGTTTTTCAAACAAATCACACACGAAATATTGAATTATATATAGAACCCAAGAAGTATGGAACCAAAAAAGGTATAAGTAAAAGCAGAACATCGTTGTCCGATGGATACAATGGAACATGTATTTAGTAACAGGAAAGAAAATGATTCATTCAGCAAGTATCGCATATTCCTAGAAAGCGAGTTGGTTTGGTCATTAAATTTCAGTAATTTTAAATCTTTTTTCTCCTGGAAAAGAAGGGCAGTAAAAAAGGAAATTCCAACCATTTGCGCTTAGTAACTTGCGCTTAGTAACCGAATTATTTGGTTTTCATTGTATTGTATTTTAGGTGAATATCTTTGGTACTTAGTCCATCGATCTGCTGTTGACTTTAGGCTGTTTAGAAATTGATACTCTTTTAGTGATAGATTTATTTTTATTGTTATAACTATAGCAGCTTTAAATTGAAGTCAAACTCCTTTTCATTCCTTACCAGCTTGTGTCGGCGACCTCGACAAGGATAGGGTGCGGTTTTACCATTTGTGGTTCAACGAGAAGCTATATTTGTAATTACGGACCGGGGTTCGTATCTGTTCTTATCAATTATAATTTATAAATTATTTTAGTCGCTGTGTAAAACCGCTAAATTCCAACAGTAATGCATAAATATATTAATTCATTCAACGTAATTAAGGACTGAAACAAAATAATATTAATTTGAATAGTATTTATCATAAAAACTGAGCAAAAGGTTATAGAAAGTAAAAGCCATTGTTACTTTATTCTGGGAGAATTAAAAACAACCCAAAAAGAACATTAATAAATCAGGAATTATACTTAGACAGTTTTGATAAATTGTTTTTAAAATTGTATATATCTGAACTTGGAACAAAAATGTGTACAATGTCGAAATTGAAAAAAAACCCAACAACAATAGTTGATACTTCTAATTTATTCATAGACAAAAGTACTCAGTCTTTTCCAATTATTTAATATCTGAATGAAATATAATATTTCAACAGCGGAATCCAGGACATAAGCAATCCCTATGAATCTGGCACTGCCTGCAGTGATTGTCAAGGAAGCTGCAGGAATAAGCTGTGTGGTAAGATTTATACTATCCTTAATTTATTTCCTTGATAATTGTATGGTATAAGAGATAAATATACATTGTAACTTATTTTGATGACAATCCGAGTGGCAGAAAACCAACATGCTATAACCGTATCCTTTATGTAAGGTTTCGTTTGCATAGTAAACCGCATGCATAGTTCAAGTATTTGAAACCAATTAATAATTTCAACGCTGATAGATATGTCGTTTTTGCAGGACAATCAATGTTGTCCATATTAATAAAAGTTCTTGATATCTGTACTTAAAATTACACTATATATATTTTTAGTATATAGATTCCACTATTATTTCCATGTTGAGGTAATTTTGAAAATAATTTTGGTGTGTTTCAGACTGTCAAGGAAAGGTGTGTCAAAATGGCGGCACGATGGACTTTAACAGCTGTACCTGTACCTGCAGACCTCCGCGTACAACCTACATCGGTCCTAACTGTCAATGTGAGTACTGTAATTTATTATACTAATACTATGAGTACTGACACTATATTATTTCATTTTCTATAAGTAAACGAACTGTTTGATGATAAGATTAAACATTAAGAACATTACCAGCTTTAAAGGAAATATTTATTCTTCGGTTTAAATATTACCAAGAGAAACTATGCAGAAGAATAATTATTTCTATCTCTTTAGCTTACTGCCATTCTTTGCTTGGATAAGTATTGTAAAGAACTAAAACAGCATTTTAGAACAATGCTTAACAAACAAGTGAAATTAACAAGATATGAAATGATTTTTTTTGTCCAGTAAACTGTACCGGCCAAAGAGACCCACCGCTGTGTGGCAGACAATTTACCCGCCAGTCCTGTGACACGTACTCTAACGTACCCCAAGACTGCCCCACGATGTGCCAAGTCTGTCCCTGTAAGTCTTTACGAAGTTTCTGACTCTCTTATTTGCTGCAATTCAACTTTCATTCTCTTAGTCTTGTGAATCTGCCTTTCACCTGCAGGTGAACATAGTACTTTTATTGCAGTGGAATACTGGTATATTTTTTGGATATTTTTTACTCCAGTATCATACAAAGTTATGATAAAATTTGTTTTGAAAAAAAAACTATCACTGGATTCTTTTGTCATCAAATTTCAAGAAGAAGCAGACAAATGAAATATATGGAGATAAACAGTTTTCAAACTCAAAAGTTCATTCAAATAGTATCAATCAGCAGAGCAAACAAAGACCTCTGAAATATCAGGCCCCAGGGTCATAAAACTAAGATCAGCTTCTTTTGATCCCAGTCTCACTTTTCTACCATTACTTCCTTAATTAATTGAGATTGGGATTCAAAGTGAGTTCATCTAGGTTATATGTTCCTGGAGCCAGAGGTTGCATTAGGCACCTTACTCATGGATAAATCATCAACAAGACATTTTTTATATTTATCGTCGTAGTCTTTAAAAATAAATCTCTCCTTTTTACCTTGTAGATGCAGGTATTGGATATGACAACAGCGGAAAGTGGTTGCAGCCGTGTATACAGCTATTGTTCCTGTCTATTGCTCTTTTTATATACTTTACTCTGTGACCTAGTTTTTGCGACGCTTTAATTTCTCCTTTTGAGAAACCTGCATGAACGTGCAATTTAGTTTTAGATTCTTGTTACATTTACAGAACCAAAAAAATATATTATTTAAAATGCCACATAAAAATTCTAAACATATATATCTCAATTTTCCAAAAGATGTAACTGTTATTGACAAAGGAAAATTTGCGTCCATTGATGAAACATTAGTTTTTTTGATTGATAAAAAGCCAGTTTAAAGTTCAACTTTTATTCAGTAATAATTTTATCCTAAACACCAGTGAGGACAGATAGTGTAATGGCAGAGAATTTCGGCCATTCTGTTTGTAAACATATGACAATTATTCTTCGTTTTGCTAAATTTTCCGTACACTCTCTCATAGTTGCGTGCGCATCCGACTATACATTCTACCGGTAATACACTGTAGCCTGCTGGTTTTCTCTCCCTTTTCGTTGGACAGAAATCTCCTACCATCGGATGCGTGGTTCTGATTACAACACTAGAATGTGGTCGTGTTCCGAATTCCATAAAATGACCATCGTACCAAATCCAGCGATGGGAAATTCCGAAAGGGTTACGCCTCGGAGATCGGGACACACGCCGGGGGAATAGGGACATGCACCAAATGTTTGTTTTTCCGAAATAGAATGGTTCTGAAAAATAATGTCAGGAAATAAGAAGATGAGGAAGAGATTTTGTTTGTACTATGTTTAAAAGTTGAATGGTTGATTATAAAGACTTAGTGATAATGAATATTAAAAGAATAGCTTGTGCCTTTGATAAAATATTTTATCTTTGAATTTTATATACAATTTTAGTCGTATAACAATGAATATGCACAGTATGAAGCATGAATTATATTGAAGACTGTCCACTTTCTTTTACAACATCCAAGATAGAATTTAAAAATAGTAAATGATCAAAATGTAGAAATTTTGAATTATCTAAATATCAAGTATTTGAGATTTAAAGTAGTTAGGGGTCTTAAAATTTTCTCCGAGAATTAATGCTAGTATACTTTTAATACGCTCAAACATTAAATATCACAGTAATTTAAACAAATTACATGTATGTCATTTCCCAATTTTTGTTTATATCTTTAATCTAAATTTACCTGCGACATGCATAAATATATATTTTTCTTCTTTGTGAACAATGTGTATGATCTTGTATTTATTACTTTTAAATAATATATGAAATGTATGTAATGATATAAAGAATAAAAGAATTGAACTGATAACGAATTGTTAATTAATGAAATCATTTGCCCTTCTCCGACGACATTTTAGAAAAATGTAGTTTTGCTTGCTTTAAAATCAGCATTTTCAAAACCAAGCAGCTTATTCCTTATTTAATAATGTTTCTCTAATTATGGCACCCGTCATCAGTAAATATTATTTGTAACATATATACAATTTTGCCATTTCAAATGCTATTTCAGCGATTTCAAATTGTTTATCTATTATCTACAGTGTGAGCAAAGTTTCCATCTCGTTAGATTATTATACTTTAGTAATATTAACAGTTTTAAAAATCCGACTCATTATAAGAAAGCTACGACAATCTACTCTGAAAACAACAGCACGTACGTTTTTCTCAAATATTTGAAAGTCTAATACCATCATTTGTTATGTGTTTAATGAACCATGAAAACAAATCACTTCTAATGAGATGTACTTCATTATATCGAATAAAAGAAAATCGATCTTTGTGCATCATACATTATACAGTAATTACTCTGACAATTAAAAGTAAGGTTTCATTTTTAAGATAACACTAGGTTATAAACAGACCTCTTTTTGTATTCATTAATAAGCAGAACTTATTAACAAGCTTCTGCACGGAAAGAACAAGTCTCTTGCTATAGCCTTCAATTAAACAATTTTGTGCATGGAAGACGTTTTATCAATTAACAATATTGAGGTTCTTACAATTTTTTTCATTCGTATTGTTTTTCAATTTATTTTTACAATTACCTATGTATTCGGTCGCTCCCGATCATGACAAGGTGAAAAAGTGATGACATTTTGTGAAAAGGCAACAAGGGACGCTTAGACCTCTAGGGTACCTGGTCCCAGATCTGGTGTTTTAGAGGTCCATGTGGCTTGTGCTCCCGCTTTGTATTGATATATTAGATCTTTTAACTTGGTTGATGTTCTTTGTCTTCATTTTAAATTTTAAAAGCCAAATCATCAATACGGCTTGATTTTGCTTTAATTAATTTTTACTGTAAATGCAATAGCGATTGAATACCGAGACTACATGTGTTATAGAAAAAAAAAACGTCTTACATTCTCTACTTACTAAATGAATAAATCACAGAGAAATGAATAAATTAAAAATAATGAAATAAGTAAACAATCAAATATAATTGTCATTCTTTCTATATTAAACAAGAAACATCAAATAAGTAGTCATTTGAAGCTCTCGTCAACATATGCCATTTTTGATCTCAGAAATAGTTCTTCCGAGCATGCTAATATATAAGCAAAAAGAACAGATATCCAGCTAAAAAGTCCATTGAAGTAATATAAATCGAGAAGGAGCAAACATCCACCTCTAAAAAACAGATATGGATTCAGGTGCCACGGGAAAGGAAACGTCCCCTGTCGAACAGTCACACCTATCCCTGCCATGTACTCCTTATCATATATAAGACTTACGATGTATCATGTGTGTAAATAACTTTAAGGTACGTCACTCGTGAAATTTGTTAAATCAAGGATTTTTTGAGAAGTATATTTTGGATAAGTACTCATATAGTATGACTCAAAATCGCAGAGAAAATAGGAGGCCAGTGTGCATCTTACTGATCTATGGTACTATTAAGTTGACCTTTTTGCACTTAAGTTTGAACTCTTTGGTTTATTACTTTATCCCTTATTATATTTTATAAGATGTTACCATGGCAATAAATTTAATCTTATTTTAAGTAAAATAGTTTGAATATTATTTATCATTGAACAAATCTTGCCAAAAAAAAAAAAAAAAAAAATGCGCGTTAATTATTGCGTGACCTTTTCGCACTAAAAAGTAACATATTTGGGGGTATTAAAAAACTAAATAGGCAATAAAATATTTTCTCATATCAAGATTTTTACGACGTAAGTGCTGATCAGTCACAAGTATCGAGTACTTTAAAATAACGAAAGAAAAAGTTGGGGTCAGTGATGTTAATTTTGAAATATTGGCCAAAATATGTGATTATCAGGCAAAAAATAGTATAAATTTTATCTTCAGTTGATTTCTTTAATATATCTTCATTCTTTTGCAAAGTTTGCTGAGGGAAGATGGTAAACTTGTTCTAAAAATATAATATTTTATATATTAAATATTCCTAGCAATATCATAACGGAAAATATTCCCCGAGTAAAAGGATGTGAGGCGAAAGTTTCAAGTCAATAAATTTAATAAATGTGCTGATTTGCAGAAATTTCTGCTAAATATCCTTCCACCACAAGAAATAGTCCCTAATAAATCTTGCTTCTTTATAGATTTTTGAGCAGTTTTTGCAATGAATGTTAAAAAATTTACATTGTTGAATTTGAATATTTTATAAAAATTGAATTTTGATAAATATTTTTGAAGTAAGAGGTTCTGCGTAAACTTTTCTAAAAAGCTGACGAGTGACATATCTTAATAATACGTATGAAAAACATCAACCTATCGGTCTAAAAAATGTTTTTCTATGTTACTTAATATACTGTATTAGAGTCCGTCTGGTTATGTATGACCTTAGGGTTAAAGTAAGCTTATGATACTGGAAGCTGTTAATTTTTATGATCGAGTATTTTAAGTATTAAATTATTATTTTAATGAATGAAAGATAAACAAGTCTACTAAAGTGTAATCTTTATCTATTGATATTCACAAATTGATTAAGGTTAAAATCATAAAAAATTGAACATTTCTTTTAAATTTCAAAACAATTGATTCAAATATGAAACAATATTGTATTCTTTATGAGATGGGACCCAGCTGAAAAACAATTTTACTCTAAGAGTTTGCAGTGAAGTGATATTTATAGTGTTACTATATATAGAAAAAAGTTGTGACCTACTTCCCACAGGCTGACAGGCTGCGGTCTTTTGGAACAGAAATGAATGAGTTCCATGTACAAAGAAACAAATAAGTAACAATACCTGAAATATAAACACAAGGTTTAAAATAATTCACATATTCAATCGAATACTTTCGAGTGTTTAAATATGGTAAAACATCTGAACAAAAGACAATGTGAAGACATTTTCAAGTTCAAAAGAGTAAATTTTAGTAACCTGGGCTTCTTCTTGCCGAATTTTACTATCCTCAAATCATGTATATATCTGATATAATAGATTTAAGATCATGTTAATTTAAGTACTTAAAAATGACACTTTTATTTTGGCAAATGCTTGAAAGATTCGAACATTTGTATCTTCATGTATAGTTATTTATGAAGTTACTGTAAAGTCACATATTTTTTTCAAGTGGTCAAATTTTCTTGATTTGAGGAAAATATATTGGTTCATGGGATTTGATTTAGTGGTTGAAGAATAGTTTAGTAGTAATATATGTGAAAAATTATTTTTCGTGGTGGACAAAAATTCGTGGGTCTCTCCATGCCTTAAAAACAACGAACATTAAACCCCCCACGAAAACTAGTGATTTCACAGTAATCGTTAAAAAAATAAATAAATAATACTTTGAATACAATAACCATAACTAAACATTATAATAGTTTTCAAATTTCTTTTGGCATTTTAAAACTGAGAATAAAAATTATTTTTACCAAAAGTATATTTATTTATTTCTGAATTTACTTACAAAAGCACCGGAGTTCCTCATCCTGGAATTCTTTACACAGAGGAAGACAATAGATCCCCAAATCCGTTTTAAAGGCTATTCTTGTATCCCCCGAAGGGTTAGATTAATGAGAAATCGAAAATGGATCACAAAATAGGACTATACTGAATGTTGGATGATCGAGGGTAAAGTTTGCTCGGTGGTTTAGCTGTACTTCCTACTGTGGGTTAATTACATTAATTATGTTAATGAACCATGTAACTAAACAAGTACAGTATTTTCCACACCTTATGTGTGTGTTTGTACAATGAAATAAATCTACCTGAACTCTATAGATAGTCATATAGATTTCCTGTTAAGAATGAAAAATCAACGTTTTGAAGGAGA